AACTACTTTAGATTACAAAGCCAGATTGACAAAGTCACGGCAAAATTCTTTAAATAGTTTATATACTGTTTTTAATTCCAAAGCTTAATTGTCCCCCGCCTCTTCGGAGAAAAAGGGGATATAGAAATGGGCTCCGTCTGTCTATCCGAACAACCATTTGGATCCTTACTTGGCTAGAGGAAAAATATGTAACAACCAACTACATGTATATTTTTTCATTGATGTCATTCATTCCGCAATCTCTTGCGTGGTTGTTTTTTTTTCTCTTAAGTGACTAAAAGAACAGTAGAGAGAACAAAAGAGTAGTCACATAAGTTAAAAATGGTGGGGACGTCAGTATGATCGTCACACTTTCGTGTCCGGTCCATAACTAAGCCATTCATCAAATGAATTTACCCTTAACTTTGCACAAATGATTGCACTAAGCCATTTATCAAATGAATTTACTAATAACTTTGCACAATCGATGTGCCATGTGCAACACCCGTACCCCTACCTCCAAGGTCAAGGTCACACTTGGTTATTTAAGGTCAACATTGTCTATTTGAGGGTATATGTTGTGTCCGGTCCGAAACTTTTTCATCCATCAAGGATTTTGATAATACTAGGTACTAAAAATCTCACAATTATAAATCGACGTGTCATGCGCAACTTGATACCTACCGTTAAAGTCAAGGTCACATTCGGAGGTAAAAGTGTAATATGGTCTGTAATAAAGAGTATTTTGTGTTCTGTCATAACTGTTTCATAGATCAAGAGATGGTGAAATTACTTGGCACAAATGTTCACAATAATAAGACGATGTATCTTGCGCAACACCTGCTGGACCCCTACCTCTAAGGTCAAGGTGACAATTGGAGGTCAAAGCTTAATAGGTATTTTATAGGTCATTTTGTATCCGGTCCATTACTTTCCACAGATCAAATGATGTTGCAAATTGCGTAGCACACATGTTCACAATAATAAGGCGACGTATCCTGCGCAACATCAGACCCCTTACCTCCAAGATCAAAGTAACATTTGGATGTCAAACCCTAACATGTTATGTTACAGGGTATGTTTCCAAGTCAGGCCCAAGCAAATGGAATGTCATTGGTGAATTGCCCACATGCCCTTATCAATGAAAAGGTTACGTATTGGACATGAAATATACCTTTTAAAGACCGTACCGTGTATTTATTTTGTATTTGGCACTTTTTGTGGTTTTGAAATGGTGACAACAGCTATCAAATGTATTTCTGTTGACACATACACAGGAGTTATTACGTGGTTTTTCTTTCATGAATTTCTTGTTGCATGTGCTGTCCTAGCATTTGTCAATATTTTGCACTGAAAGTCCAGATCCATACCTCAAACTTTTGAAAAAGCACAATTTTGTTCTTAATGTAAAACGTTCTTTAGGCGGGGGACGTTGGTAACTCTGTTTGCAATTCTTGTTGACAAGGCCATGGCAATATCTATTTTATTATTTCATACTACTTTAGATTACTTACCTAAACTGACATTGTCATGGCTTGATTTTTTATTAAGGTCATGGCAACACTTATTTTCATAGCAACATCTATTCCATCATACTGCTGTAGATCACATATTCAAAATGACGAGGTCATAGCAAACATTTTTTTTACACTGCACTAGATTACCAAGCCGTAGATGACAATTTCATTTGTGATATAAACGGGAAACACATTCCAAAAAATATGAGATGTATCCATTACATTGACGAAACCGGCTTTCCTATTGGTTGTAGAGATGGGAGTCATCTGAACAATTGTGGTATGTACATAATCTAATAGTATGCCAACAACGATTTAGCAAAGTGCATGATGAATTACGTTCATAAAGGACATCGTTATCTCAACACGTGGTCGAACAAAATCAAAACAAGTCAATGATAGTTCCGAAACAACATATTGAACTGCTAACATCCTTTTTCCTTTTATCACAAAGTCTAAATGAAAGTTAAGGCATATCATTATCAAAAGGTGAAAGAAAGAATTTAACAGATTATTTCAATGTTCAATATTTATAAACTTTGTCTCTTGTGAAGACTGTATATCAGTCAGCCAAATTTAATGCCTTTATTGTACGTTATCCATAGTTGAATAATGTCCTTATGAGAGATATCTAATATTCTAGAGATAAACAAGTAAGAGAGAACTATTCTATCAGCATCTTTTTCCACTTGAAAGATAGTCTGATTAAGGCATGTCACAACGAGGTTTCGATGTATACATTATCTATATATGTTACTTCATAACAGTTGATAATAAGTGCCATGTGGTAGTTCGTACTTCAGTATTGTAATTCTTTTTGATATTACAAAGTCATGTGCGTCAGATGGTCTCAGTGCAAGGTTTCTAAAGTTATCGGCCAATATTATTGCTCCCATACTTACCACTATATTCAATAATAGCATTCTAAACAATACACTTCCTAAATCATTCAAAAATGCCAAAGTCATTCCTATACATAAAAAAGGTTCTAAAAGTGATAAAAGAAATTATAGGCCAATTTACGTATTTCCCTTGATATCACTTATTCTTGAACGTCATGTCAGTTCATATTCAAAGCAATACCTTGAGAAAAATCAACTTCTATACCAACGTCAGTCTGGATTCAGGTCAAATCATTCATGTCAAACTGCATTGATTAGAATTATTGATGATTGGATTACAGCTATTGACAAAAATGAAATAGTTGGTTCAATTTTCCTTGAGAGAGATCTCTCTAAAGCTTTTGACTATGTGGATCACTCTATTAGTATTGAAAAGCTTAAAATGTATAACCTAGATCCTTCATCAGTTGCTTAAATTTCCTCCTATTTAGATTGCAGAACCCAAAAAACTTACATATATTCAGAGTCAAGTTCAGTAGCTACTGGAATTCCTCAGGGCTCAGTGCTCGGTCCTATACTGTTTTTAATTCTATATCAATGACCTGCCTTTGTCTATGGAAAAACAGAAACTGATATTTTTGCTGATGACACCATCCTTCAACCTCTGACGTATCCCTTAACAGAGTAGTTAAATCTCTTACTCATGATCTTTTAAATGCCGACAAATGGTGTGATTTGAATCGCATGTATATAAATGCTAACAAAACTAAGGTCATGTATATTTCCTCAAAATACAAGCAAAATTATATCCTTGTATTTCATATAAAACAGAGCAAATTGTTTGTAGCTCTGAAGAAAAATTATTGGGTATTACAATTAATAACACCTCGTCTTGGCAAAACCATATTGATAATGTTCTTAAAAAATGCAATTCATTGTTACATTTATTATCTCGTATAAAATTATTCATATCTATAACTGTACGTAAATGTTTTACAATTCATATATTTTACTATATCTTGACTATTGTTGCATAATTTACGGTAACTGTACGTTTTTTCTAGAAGAAAACTCATTAAGTTCCAAAAGAGAGCTGCAAGACTAATTCTAGACAAAGATTATGACACTCTTTCTGCTGAACTTTTTTCTGAACTCCGCTGGATGACCTTTTCACAGAGGGTTGTTTTCAAAAAGCTATTATGATGTTAAAGATAATGAATAATCAGGCGCCTACCTATTTATTGAATAATTTCATTTTATCGTCAGATGTTCATACTCACATATTGCGTTCATCATCAGATTTTCAACTTTAAACCCCTAGACCAAATACTGAACAATTTTGTAAGTCTTTTGTTTATTCTGGATCTTGTATTTGGAATGGCCTTCCTGATTATATTAAGTCTGCTACATCTGTGAACCATTTTGAAACCTTAAACTTGAATTTCATCACATACTGATGTATACAAATCTCCTGTATATATTTACATTTATGTATCTTAATAGTTTGAATATGTTAAATTTATGTTGTTCCTTGTTGAGGGCCTCATGGAAGATTGATGTTTGTTCAAATGAGTTCTCTCGTTAAATAAAGTCTTTATTATTATTATTTCCCGGTCAAGCACGTTAGTTTTGATGATTGAATACTGCTAAGGCAGGTGCAAGGAGGCGTGATAGATTTTGCAATTTTCTATTATCTCTTATGAACAGGTTCAATATGGGACTTAAGTCCCAGATTCAGTCAAACCAAGTCCGCAGTTCTTATGTTTGTTTACATCGCCCTTTGTCCAGTTATTCTATTTGCTAGGACTTTGACAATGTTTCATCTTATATTTTGTATCGTTTATGCAACATCTATTTAACTACGGAGTCTGGTAAGGTCGAGCTTTTTTTAGTACGAACGTGCAAAATCCTGGCTTTGTTAATTTATTTATATTGGACTATTTTAGGTATAATCAGTGTTGCTTTTTCGACATGATTGTTGTGACAAAAAATATTTAGAATTTATATTTTACGACAGATAAAATATCAAATAACTATTTTTGATATGAAAATTGATTAGATTTATAAATATCTTGGTTATAAATACCTAACAATAAAATATATCAAAATGTCATTCAGAAAATTCATTCTATCTATGAAATTTTTGAACTCTATTTATTACCTCATGCAGGATTACATATTGGTTTTTGTTGTTAATTATGTATAAACGTTTTACTCTCTCTTGTGATGGAAAAAATTATGCTATCTATGTTTTACAGAGCACTATAAATGTCCACAGGGTATGGCTAAATGCCCTAACAGCTATTGTATTCCACATCGGTTTCTATGTGATGGACTTCTACATTGCCCGGGAGGGGAAGATGAATACTATTGCGGTCAGTCATTTCAAATTCATTTTAGGGAGAATGCACTTCAATAATGCTAATTTTCACGAAAATTTGAAAATGTATCTAAAAGTAAAGAAAGTAATTTGCACAATGCAAAACGGCATTATAATTTACGTAAGACTAAACAGAAGTCAAATATGCAAATATAGCCGTCACTGCGTTAAGGTGATTCCGCTTTGTCAGCCATGTTTGTTTTCACTCAAGTCTGTTCAAAGTGAAAGTAGGCCAAAATTCATATAACAACAAAGCTCTTATTGTAAAATGATGAACCATTTGAAAGTACACTTCCAGGTTTATATTTTAAGGACAATTATAAACAAAAATAAAAATGATAACAATAAGAATATTTACCTTGAATGTGCTACATTTCTGAAGACCAAAAACATTCTGTTGCAAAGTTTTAAGCACATTTCATGAATGGCAAAATCCTTATTATTTGGAGTTAAGTTTTGAAAGATTTTTGTATTTTCTGCAAAAAATAGCTATTGTAGGCACTAAAACAGACTTTAAAAAGCATTTTGCCATTCATGAAATGTGCATAAAAATTTGCAACAGAATGTTTTCGGTCTTGAGAAATTTAGCCCATTCAAGGTAAATTTTCTTATTGTTATCATTTTTATTTTTGTTTAAAATAGTCTTTAAAACATAGAACTGGAAGTGTACTTGCAAATGGCTCATCATATAACAATGTGAGCTTTTTTGTTATAAGAATTTTGGCCTACTTTCACTTTGGACAGACTTTGTGAAAACAAACATGGCTGACAAAGCGGAATCACCTTAAACAAGCAGTAAAAATACGTAATGAATACTGCAAAATCAAAATGCATGTACATTATTATTTGAATCTTGAATCTTATTGCATCAAAATAACAAGGACATTATTATTGGAATCTTGAATCCTTTAAAGCTACTTAAAATGTTACTACAGTTTTCTTAAGTTTGATATTTTGAAATACTTTAAGGGCTTGTCTGGAGGCATGCAGCTCAGAGATAAAAGTCATATCAACAACATAAATTAACTAGATTTAATATGCAACCATACTAATAACTTAAATAATTTAAAATCTTAAAGATCATTAATTGATAGATTGTTTTCCCAAGAACAATGAATACAATATAAAGGTAGCTGGTAAGAGAAAGTGGGAGGAGAGAGAGAGAAATCAAATTGTTACATTGGTTACTCTCCTCTTTAGAATATACCATGCTAAGTTGTATTCCTTCAAAGAGATGAACAACTGAATTAATGACATCTACGTTTAAACATTTGCAGCTGTCGTACATTGTAATACTCTCGTTTTTTGTGGCGGATCTTAATTGTTTAATGTTCTTTTTTCTTTTTTGGTTTATTGTAAAATTGCAGGATGTGCCCCATCAAAAAATGAAATTCTTATTATTCACGACGAGGAAACTACTGATGGGCCAGATATATTTCGGTTTGCACAGCAATTTTCCACTGCAACAAATATTGTTCGTGTATTAAGCTATAAGGCAACAAAACCATTCAGTGCTTATGGAATCAATAATTTGTTGCTAGACGTTCTTGATAAGGAAATAAGTAGAGCACAAGATACTGAAAATTCGTTCAGTTGTCGCTATAAAACAATGGCAAAACATCTTCTAGAGTCAGTTCATTTTACAAACGATCATCTGAAAGGTGTTATTTTAATTCAAACGAGAGGGGTTGCAGAAGAAGTCAATAAGGAAATCGTAGGAACAAAGTTTATCTTAGAACAAAATACAAAAGTTTACAGGGTGATCGAGAATTTTAATTTGTCAAGTTATTCAAAGACTTCAAGTTCGGAAAATGTTTTAGAATTTTATGTTAGAAGATGGCAGAGTCTAAATGGAATTGGTGCAGAATATTTCAGCGACCTATGCAATAGTAAGGTTTATATTGTTATAAATAGAAAAATTGAACAAACCATAATGCACGTTTGAAAAAAATCTTTTTATTGACTAAGTTTGACTTTAGCAGAAAACAAACAATTTACTTCAACGTATTTAAGCACTAAGCTTTCTTGATGAAATATTTTTCGAAAATAAAAATGTTGACAGAGTTCTTAAATGAATTAATATGAACATATATGTGATGAATAATAATATTCTGTTCTTGAAAATTTTATTAACTGCCATACATTGATATGTGATATCGAATGATCAGGCCCAAGACAAAAGTTATTTTAAGTAAATGTTATGTATAAACTCTGAATGAATTGCAACTTTACGTTCCAACCAAAAATCATTTACCTTAACTTTATATAACTATAAGTGAGAAAAAAATTATGTTGTAAATGAGGAGTTGACTGGCTATTTATTTTTCAAAACTTTCTATTTTAAGAGGTGTGTATGAAGATGAACTGTCATGACACAAAGTGTCGGTTAGTTCAAAGTACATATATGTATTTATTAATTTGTTTCGCTTGTATGGTAGATTTTTGACACTCACAGCAACAATTTTTTATTTTCAGTAACAACAAAGGTTCACTGCCCCTATGGTTACAAATGTGCTTGGAGTCATGCTTGTTTATTGATAGATCAAGTCTGTGACGGGATTGTTCATTGTATACATGGTGACGATGAGGCAATTTGTGACTTTAGATGTCCAGATAATTGCACATGCCAGGGGTATGTTGCTGATTGCAGCAACACTGACTTTCAGTTATCTTTATTACCAACAGTACCAGATACAGTCCGGTATCTTGATTTTAGTTCTAACATCGGACTCAGTTCTATATTGGAGGAATCTTATTTACATTTGCAAACTTTAATCGTCTTTAATCTTTCATACTGTGGAATACAGCGTATAAATTCATATTCGTTTGAAAGAATGAAGAATATCCGCCATTTAGATCTAAGTTACAACTTATTAACAATTTTGCCAGATTTTGTGTTTATCAGCTTAGAGCAGCTACAAGTCCTTAATCTACGAGGTAACTATCAGCTATCAGTAATAGAAATGTATGCCTTTGTTGGACTGGTTCATGTTGGAGAACTGGACTTAGCCAATGCTAGACTGGAAACAGTTTTGGCAGACACATTTTCAGGAATGAGTCTACACAACTTAGACTTATCAAACAACAAGCTAAAGGGATTGGCAAGTTTTGCTTTCCGCGGTGCATCTATACGGTCTATCAGTTTCAAAGAAAATAATATAAAATCATTTAATACAGAAATATTTACTGGACTTATTGGTTTAGAAAACCTGATTACTCCGGAGTTCAAATTCTGTTGTATTCGACCCAATTATGTAAAAGAAGAAAACTGTTATCCTCAAAAAGACGAGTTTTCATCCTGTGATGACCTGATGAGACACTCTGTGCTTCAGTTTTTGATATGGTTAATAGGAATCACTGCGTTTCTTGGAAATATTCTGACGATTTTCTACAGGCTGAAATATGATAGAGAAAGATTGAAATTGGGGTTTGGCATATTTGTTACAAACTTGGCAGTTGCCGATTTTCTAATGGCTATATATCTCATCATTATAGCTGCTGCCGATTCTGCATTTCGGAAAAGGTAAGTCACGTGATATTCCTGAAATAGAAAAGTAACACTTAAGATATTATATACTATATATAGGTGACTTTAAAAGGCCGAATTGTAATAAAGATATTAACATTATTGACTATACTTATGTGATGTCTCTGCCTGATTCAATATGGACCGATATGAATCAATGCAACGAAATATGTAATAAATTAAAATGAATATTATTAGGTACAATGTCTGAGGAAGAAAACTATGCGCAGACTGATTGGGATTCGAACCAGTGGCGCCGGGAATCGTTTTGCAGCTATATCGACCCAGCTTTCAGGTGGTTTACATAGTTTATCCCCTAGTCGTGAAAAGTTTTTTATATCGGGACAAAAGAGTCTCGCACCAAAGTTTTGATTCATTGTCTTTTCTGTTGAATAGTACTTTGTATTTACATTATAGTCGTGCGTCCTCATGAACATTAAATCAAGTATTAGGGTGTGCTCAACATTTTTTGTAAGTTATAGTACAATTGAACTTATACAAATTATGTAGTCATTTGTGATGCAAATTGAACATATTCTTTTAAAGATACATATTTATGGACGACTACTGGAGGCACAGTATATGGTGTAACCTTGCGGGAATGCTGTCCACCACATCTTCAGAAGCGAGCGTTTTATTTCTTTGTCTCATTACATTGGATAGGCTTCTGGTAATAAAATTTCCGTTTGGACGAGCTAAATTGACCAAAGACAGAGCTGTCAGTTGTGCCATTTTCACGTGGGTATTTTCCGTTACTGCAGCCATATTTCCACTTGCTTATGAAGGATATTTTAAAAACGAATTCTACTCAAAGTCTGGTGTTTGCATTGCTTTACCGTTAACAAGAGATCGTCCACCTGGCTGGGTTTATTCCTTATCGGTGTTTGTTTGCCTGAATTTTCTTACATTTATCTTAGTCGCAGTTGGGCAGCTCTCGATTTTCATTGAAATTCGCAATTATTCTGGAATCGCCACCACTGTAGAAAGTTCAAGAAAAAGGGACCTTAAAGTTGCAAGGAATCTTCTGCTAGTTGTAGCAACTGATTTTATGTGCTGGTTTCCTATAGGAGTCATGGGTAAGAAGTTATTTTAATTGATAAATTAACATAAATGATAGAGCTGGCCGAAAATTAGTCGGCGTCGTGTCGGTGTCGGCGCCTCTGTAGTTAAGGTTTAACGTGTAAGCTGGTATCTCCATAACTACTGAATGGAATGGATTGAAACTTCAAGCACTTGTTCTTTGTAATTATCTAACATGATTGGCAAATGTCCAATAACTCTGACTTCGTTAAGTTTTTGCGTGTAAGCTGGTGTTTCCATAACTACTGAAGGGTTTGTGCTTTTTTGTGACAATTTTATGCATTCATAATAATCAGTCAGTGATTTACTCGATATAACATCTTAATAACAAGCCTTTGAACCTTTTTGGGACAATTTTTTGTATTCATATAGGTAATCATTATTATACTCAATGTCGAGCGCCGTTCTTGTTATACTACCAACCAGTCAACTCGGCTCTAAATTCTATTTAGTGCAATCATAGCAGGGAAAGTAAGAAATGTACTATTAAATTAATAATTATTGTTTCTTTAATTCTAGCAATGTTTGCGCTGTCTGGTCACGTGATATCTGGAGAGGTATATGCATGGGCAGCTGTTTTTATTCTACCAGTCAACTCGGCTCTTAATCCTATTCTATATACATTAAGTGCCATCATTGGAGGAACGGTGAGTTATTTACTATGAATTTCTTTCCAGCAAATGTAAGGTCTGTAACTCAAAAAGTTTCAATCCAACATTTCAGCTTGGCTGCCAGTTGTTATACTATGTATATAAGTACAGAGGATTTATTTATGCCATTGTTACTTGCTAACGGACAACTTTTCCTGTTTCAACTTGCAACCAAAAAATATTCTTCAAACGTAAGCTTTTAATTCATTTACTTAAAATGTCAAATGAAACTCTGCGAAAACATTAAATAAAACGACAAAGTTATCACTTTTTTAGCCTTTCACTCCGCGGTGCGCCAGACCATATTTCAGAAGCAAGTGAAAGTGCCAACTGTCGCATACTTGTGATTTTGTCCTTCGTTCCGCGAGGCTCCAAGCGAAAAAAAAAGACAGTGATCACTTTCTTGCACTTTTGCTCTGCGGGATGCCAGGGAAAACACGAAGTTACGACAATGTGATCAATTTGTCGTACTCTTGCTCTGCAGGGCGCCAGACTAGAATACGAATGTCGTGTTTTCGTATGGGGTCATGTGGAGCGAAAATAAGACATTACACAAATCCGAGTGCTTTCAAATTTGTGTTTAGGTTGCAATTCTCTAGTACAAATCCTGAATGAGTGACAGATTGCAGTTACTCTGTTCAACCGATTGCAAATATATTCAGCGAATGGATTGATCGTTAAGTAACTTTCATATCTGCAAACTATTTATTTTTGTTATATTTTCAGAAATTCAGTCCCAGTACTGATGAACAGTCATTGAAACAAATGACACAAGGTTTGTTGTTTCCTTTCTAGAGTAGTTTTACTTTTAATCAGGGCATCAGTTGTGTTACATATGATAAAGGTGGATCGTTTTACATTGACTCGTACGTGATCGATAACATGTGAAAAGCCTTTTAATCCGACATCGGTTAAAATGTATGGACAAAATTTTCATTTTCTATTGCCTTACATTTTCACATTTAAGAAAAATAAGCATTCCCATACGCCATTTTCATGAAAATGCACAAAAGGGTCACATTGAAGGTTCATTGTCTCCACCGTATGAAAACATCTTTATAACGCTACATTTACATTTTTCCTTACCTTGCACTTATTTCTCGTGAAATCACGGGTATTTTATGTAGCGGAGTGGCTACCAATTATGCTGATTAAAGCTATATTACATATACTGGTAATATTACCTAAAATATATCCTATCTACATGTATTTTATTTTATTTTTTGACTACATAATTGTAAATTTTCTCTCTAGTCTCTTTATGTGCATAACTCTTGTAAACAAAAAATTAAATATAATTTAGCTTTTGGATATTTCTAGTCTAAAATCATGCATTGTTTAAGTCAACTAGCTCACTTGTTTTGAATAAAAAGTAAAATTTACAAAAAATACTTGATGTATTCCAAATTGCTGTTTCGAACTTAACTTAAAACATTTTGATGCATTGAATTTATAAAGTACGTAACTACATTAATTTCAAACAAATCACACTTGACCTATAGTAAGGTATTCTTTTCTCGTTTTCTTCATAATTAGCAGCCTAGTTTCTTGATTTGTATTATTATCGTGCTACTAAATATTTTGTATATATTTTTGTTTAAATAGTTGTATGATATGTATAAATCCTATTCACAACACTAGTTAAAGATAAGTAAACAAACATACCTGTATGTCTGGTAATCTACGGGTTGTATTTCTTTATGTTAATTTACATCGATTGCAGACGACACAGGTCAGAGGAACATAAAATCTTGTCTTTTTCGTGCTAAATGAAATCTACCGATAGTCGCTTAAACTAAGTGTTACTTGATGCACAAAAACTAAATATTTTAAACTCTGTTATTTTGTAACATATTTCTTTTCGTTCTTTTAACGTACTTGTGATAAATATTTTTGTAATCATTTGTATGAACTAGCATCGCAAATATTTTCTACATTCGTTAACTATATTTTCCCTTTGATGTGATTATTTTAAAAACATTTTTTTCTTTACTCGTTATATTTTTAACATTTTTTTTCTTTATTCGTTACTTAATTGTATACGAGCCATGTTTGGATAGGCATCCGATGATGCTCAAGCGTATTGATTTTCTTTGTATTTATAATGATTTCGATATTTGTCCCCCGCCTTTTCGAAGAAAAAAGGGGGATATAGAAATAGGCTCGTCCGTCCGTCCGTCCGTCCGTCCGTCACACTTTCGTGTCCGGTCCATAACTTTGTCATTTATGAAAGGAATTTGAAATAACTTGGCACAAATGTTTATTATAATAAGACGATGTGTCATGCGCAACAACCAGACCCCTACCTCCAGGGTCAAGGTCACACTTGCTCATTCAAGGTCAACAATGCCTATTTGAGGGTATATGTCATGTCCGGTCCATAACTTTCTTATCTATGAAGGGATTTTGTAAATACTTGCCATAATAGTTCACAATAATCAGACAATGTGTCATGCGCAAAAACCAGTCACCTACCTTCAAGGTCAAGGTCACACTTGGAGGTCAAATATTAACATAGTCTGTTACAGGGTATATTTCGTGTCCGGTCCATAACTTTGTCATTTATCAAAGGAATTTGAGATAACTTGGCACAAAAGTTTGTTATAATAAGACAATGTGTCATGCGCAACAACCAGACCTGTACCTTCAGGGTCAAGGTCGTACTTGCTCATTCAAGGTCAACATTGTCTATTTGAGGGTACATGTCGTGTCCGGTCCATAACTTTCTTATCTATGAAGGACTTTTGTAAATACTTGCTATAATTGTTCACAATAATCAGATGATGTGTCATGCGCAAAAACCGGTCACCTACCTCCAATGTCAAGGTCACACTTGGAGGTCAAATACTTACAAAGTCTGTTACAGGGTATATTTTGTGTCAGGTCTATAACTTTTTCATAGATCAAAGGATTTTGAAAATACTTCGCACAAATAGTCACTATAATAAGAGGATGTGTCATGCGCAACACCTGCATCCCTACCTCCAAGGTCAAGGTCACACTAAGAGGTCAAAAATTAACATAGTCTGTTATAGGGTATACTTTGTGTCGAAACTAGAACTTCTTGGGATTTTGAAATAACTTGGCACAAATAGTCACAATAATAAGTCGATATGTCAGGTACAACATCTGCACCCCTACCTCTTAAGGTCAAGGTCACACTTAGAGGTCAAAGGTTAACAGAGTCTGTTATTTGGTATATTTTTTGTCCCGTCCATTACTTCTTCATAGATTAAGGGATTTTGAAAATACTTGGCACAAATAGTCACAATGATTAGATGATATGTCATGCGTAAAATCTGTGACCCTACCTCCATGGTCAAGGTCACACTTAGAGGTCAAAGATTTACATAGTCTGTTATATGGTATATTTTGTGTCCAATCTATAACTTCTTCATAGTTCAAGGGATTTTGAAAATACTTGGCACAAATAGTCTCAATAATAAGACGTTATGTCATGCACAACACCTGCTCCCCTACCTCCAAGGTCATGGTCACACTTAGAGGTCAAAGCTTAACATGATAGATTTTTAAATTCCGTGTTTCATTTTATTTTTTTAACAAATTTATTGTTACATTTGCAGATCTACTATTGATCATAATTTTGGACGGAATGTCCTGAGATCCATACCTCAATCTTTTGAAATAGCACAATTGTATGCTTCATATAAAACTCCCGGGGCGGGGGACGTTGGTAACTCTGTTACAAATTCTTGTTTATTTGCAAGTAGGATAGTATGAGTGTTCTCACCTTTTTTTATAAGTACTTGATATGCGTCTTGTACATTTTGTTAACTTCTATTGTTTAGTTTATTTAATCTCTCATCATCTAAAGTTTATTAGTTATCTTATTACATCAGTGTTATGTAGCTTAAACGTATACATGTTTAATATGTTTTCGTCTACTTTTACCATACATGAATTAAAACTTACTTATACATGTATAACTACTTCAATATATTTAAATAACTTACTATATTATACACAAACAACATAATTATTTACAAACCCAAAGACACATTTTTAGATCAGAAAACTTATATACTTACCTCATTTGATTATCATCTTAGATTAAGATAACCTTGATTATATAATACTTTAATATATCAATAACCACTATTGTTTTGCATGCATACTACAATATTTGATTTGAGTATTGATTTTTCTTCGAAATAATAATGATTTTGATATTATATTTGCCAGTATGAAAGTTTGCTCTCCGTTCTTTTTTATTAGTATTTGCGTATGCGTCTTGTACATTTTGTAAATTTCTATTGCATAGATTATTTGTAAAAAACTACCTCATACATGTTCATCTTAAAAGGCTAATAGAATTCTTCTCTATTGTTTATCAATTTATCTTATTTTCCTAATACTTTTATCTATACTAATGTTTATTGGAATTTATCATTTACGTTTTTTTTTATTTTCCTTTGACGGTATTATTTACCTCATCTGAATAACAAAATTACATTTGTATTTATTATCGTTTTTATGAATCAAAGTTTCTTATAAAAACTACCTCAATATATTTGATATAACTTATTATATACGATCAACATAACTACAGACATATCCAAATAATGACAAAGTTATATACTCACCTCATTAGATTATCATTTGAGACTAAGATAAACTTGATTAAATAATAGTTTAATATCATTTTTGTCTAGCATACATACTTCAACGGACCTTATTCTGAATCAGCTTTAACCAATTTCTTTACTTAATTCGTATAGACCATCCTAATAAACTTACACACTTATCTCATCAAACTTACCTCATCCGATCGTCATTTTAGATCAAAATAAAAAAAAAATACCTTCATACTTTCCTATATCTATCCAGCTCAATATTTTACAATATATTTGATATAACTTATTATATACGATCAACATAACTACAGACATACCCAAATAATGACAAACTTATATACTCACCTCATAAGATTATCATTTTAGACTAAGATAAACTTGATTAAATAATAGTCTATTATCATTTTTGTCTTGCATACACACTTTAACGGACCTTATTCTGAATGAGCTTCAACCTAATTTTATACTTACCTAGAATAGACCATCCTAATAAACTTACACACTTATCTCATCAAACTTACCTCACCCAATCCTCGGTTTAGATAAAAAAAATACATTCATACTTACCTAAATCTATCCAGTACAATATTTTAAAGACTTGTCCTATCGAACTTCCGCTTCAAACAACAAATAGCTTCCTATCTACTTCTTAAATGTCCCTTAAAATCCCTCCTACTAATTACTTACTAATGATACTAGCTATTTCTTTTTCTTTTGTTTTCCTAACTCTATGTTTTTTATCAGTCTCATATCCACATTTATTTTTAGTTGTCCATCACTCTGCATACGTATGCTTTTCTGTCCCTTGTACACACAAGTTGTCAATGTTGGCTTTGCAAAAGTTCTTACTCGCTATAATAGCTATCTCATAAGTCTTATATGAAACGAAACACTTGCGAAGCCTTCATTAAATCATACAAAATATATAGGTCACTTCATTTTCCAATCACTTTTCATATTTTGCTTTTGGTATTTATCTGTAGTATCCCATTGTTTGTGTTTTCAATGCATTATTGGCTATCCTAAAATAAACTGTTTATCGTCAGATTCTCTTCAAAAAAGGTAATGACATTCACCACTAGAGTTTATAATAACATACAATTTACCAGTAATACTTTAACTTTGGTATTTGTATTGGTGTACTATTCCTGGCTAGTAGTAATCTTGCATGTACCTGGAGACATTCATCTGAATCCTGGTCCAATCTCACCTACTTCTTCAATTGCATCCATGACCTCTACTCCTTCGGAAATTTATCATATTCAAAATCATCTTTCTTTCGTACATTTAAATGTTCAGAGTATTGAACATAAACTCGATATCCTTTTTTCGGAACTCTGCGATTTTGATATTCTTGCTTTCTTTGAAACTTGGCTCAAAAGTTCTGTATCAACTGAAGACTTACTACTTTCCTCGTATCATTCCCCTGAACGCAAAGATCGCATTGGGGATGCTCACGGTGGTGAGTACATTAAAGACAATATACACTACAAACGTACAACAGATCTAGAATTAAACAGGTTAGAATGTATTTGGATCAAGTTGATTCTTTGTAACAATCGTCATATTCTATTTAGTATCTTCTATCGCCCGCCTAACTCAGATGTCATATACAACAATCTTATTGAAGATTCTATTGGTCTAGCCATTGACACTTATATACCTGACATCATCATTACGGGTGATTTCAATCTAACTGTAAACTGTTATTCATCAAACCGCAAAATTACATCCATCACTCAACAATTCAAACTAGAACAACTAATTGATGAACCAACACATTACACTGAACATTCAAATTCTTTGATCGACCTTATATTAGTTTCAAACAAAAACAATATTATTCATTCTGGTGTTGGTGATCACTTTCTAGAACAAGAACTAAGGTATCACGTTCCTATATTTGGTTTTCTGAAATTCCGTAAACCGCGACAAATGTGTTTTGACCGCATTGTTTGGGAATATGAACATGCTGACTACAAAGCATTACGTGGAGATATAAATACCTTTACATGGGAAAACTGCTTTGATGCAGATGTTAACATATATGCAAATAACGTAACCAATCAGATACAAACAAATGCTAAAAATAACATCCCTAACAAATTGATTAAAGTAAGACCTTTAGATGTTCCATGGATTACAAATTCAATCAGAGTTAATATCCGTAAACGAAAACGTCTGTATAAAAAAGCTAGAATGACAAATTCACACTATTACTGGCAAAGATTCAAATCCATTCGTAATGAAACAATATTATTGATACGGGAAGCCAAGTCAAACTATTTTTGTAAACTTTCAAATAAACTGAAAAATCACTTTCGTCTAAAGACTGGTGGAAGACACTGAAATCTTTTATTTCATCAACAAATGATAGTAGCATTCCACCACTGACAGATCCCTTTAACAGAAATATTGTTTACTCAAATAACGATAAGGCAAATCTTCTGAATAACTTCTTCGTAGGACAAATGTCTATTAACGATGAGAACAGAGATCCACCTTACCTTAGTTCATCACATTCCTGTCTCAACGATATTGTGCTTAGCCCTCATGAAGTAAAAAAAATGTTCTTCTTTCGTTACAAGTTGACAAAGCAGTAGGTCCAGATGGTATAAGTAATAGAATTTTATGCGAGGCTTCTCATGAACTATATTTCCCCTTGTGTGACTTATTCAATGCTTCTCTACAATGTTGTGAAGTTCCAATCACATGGAAAGAGGCAAATATCACTGCAGTTCACAAAAAGGGCGACACATCTCTCCTAAATAATTACAGATCCATATTACTTTTGAACACTACAGAAAAAGTATTTGAGCGACTTGTATTTAAACACATCTTTAACTTTCTCAAATAATTTTCTGTCTACTGCTCAGTCTGGTTTTATCCCTGGTGATTCTACAGTTAATCAGCTGGCCTTCATTTATGATACGCTTTGTAGATCACTTGACAATGGCCTTGAAGTTCGTGTGGTTTTCTTTGATATCAGTAAAGCGTTTGACAAGGTTTGGCATAAAGGCCTCCTTTCGAAACTAAAGCACGCAGGTATATCTGGATCTTTGTTATCTTGGTTCAATAGTTACCTTACTGATAGAAAACAAAGGGTCTATACTTGGTCCCCTATTATTTTTGATCTTTATAAATGATATTGTTAATGAAATCGAATCTTTCATAAACCTCTTTGCTGATGATACCAGTCTTTATGTTATAGTTGAACATCCTAACACAGCAGCAACACTTCTTCAGTCTGACATCCAAAAAATCTCTTTATGGGCAGAAAGGTGGTTAGTCACCTTCAATCCTTCAAAATCGGAATCCCTACTTGTAACCAGAAAGCGAATTCGTCAGCATCACCCTTCATTGCATATGTTCAACCAACAAATTCCAGAAGTTTCTGAACACAAACATTTAGGCATCTTACTTAATTTCTTCTGACTGCACATGGCACAAACAAATTGAATACATAACTGATAAAGCTTGGAAAAGGGTTAATATAATGCGTAAACTGAAATTCTCTCTGGATCGTAAATCTTTGGAAATTATCTATATAGCATTCATTAGACCTATTTTGGAATACGGTGATGTAATTTGGTGTACCCAATATGAACTCGAACAGCTTGATAAGATTCAAAATGAATGTGCTCGCATTGCAACTGGTGCAACAAAGCTTATCACACTAGAAACTCTGCAGAAAGAAATTAATTGGGAATCGTTATCCGAAAGAAGATATAAACACAAACTAGTTATGTTTTACACTATGCAGTCGAACAAAACTCCAGATTATCTCTCATCATTAATACCAAATCCAGATCAATCCCGATACAGCTTAGGAAACTCTGAAGATATCAGAGGAATTACATCAAGGACTACTCTGTACAACAATTCTTTCTTGCCATCAGTTATTCGTGATTGGAACAACTTGCCTGTTATAATACGAATCTGCCCTACAATATCTTCATTTAAAACTTTCTTAAACAAGGACAGAAAATATACACCAAAATACTTTTATACAGGTAGTCGTAAACTGCAGGTTCTTCACACTCGGCTTCGAACGAACTGCGGCGCATTAAATCACCACCTGTTTTTAAAAACATTTCTCTTACCCCTTTGTATATTGTGGGCAAATTGAAACTACACAACATTTCTTTTTCGAGTGCTGTGCATACGACGCCGTCCACAGAACACTCCTCCTTAAGCATAAACCTTCATTAACTTCTCTATGGTGACCCATCTCTTACATACCAGGACAATGTTATTATATTTACAAATGTACAAAATTATATAGAATTATATAGAAAAAAAAACGAAAAGATTTACTTAGATCCATTCTTATTGAGACTATAATCCTCCCTCACCCTCTTTCTTCTCTTTCCCACTATTTTGTAATCTTCTTTTATATATATTCTTACATTTTAGACATCTACTTGTAGTTAATCTATTCTATATAAGTTTATATATAAATATATATTTTATGTGTGTATAATTAATACTTATTCCCTTGTCTAGTATAATTATACTAACTATAAACTTATTCAAGACAAACCATATAGTTCGCCAAAGGAGAAGAATTCTATAAGACTTGTCTTTCATTCTCATCCTTTTCCATTGTCTAAAAATGTTTTGTTTGTTATATATTTGTATGAACATTATATATACTTTCGGGAATAAATATGTTTAAACTAAACATCTGCAAATTTTCTAAATTCTGAATTTCAAAATTATCTTATATAAATGTTGAATAATTCTTTTTTAATTTTGCCATTTTATGTCTTTTGGGAAATTAGGAGTTTTCTAATAAATCACTGATATCAAGTTTACCTCTCAGATGTGATATTTACTTTCAAATATCTATATTACCAAATACAAATTAGAAAAAAAAATCATTCATTCGATTTCAGAAACAAGTTACAATGTTGCAATTAAATCTGACTGATATAATAAGCGTACAATTTATTTTGTCATTTAGAATTAGGAGAGAACACAATCAGATGTTTAAATGCCAGCCGTTGTTTAACAAGGTCGATACGTCGCCATGACTATGAAGACATCACTATGATTCCCGACGAAGTAGATATACCAGCCGTGTCTATCTTATCTATTTGTAAGGCACTGGCACATACATTAGAAGGATTACAAAGTTGCTCTCTAGATATAAGTCTATTGGACAAAGGCTCTTTGTTTGTTGGTGTCAGAAGTAAACAGGTAATCTAAGACAAATTTTCTTTTATTCATTTTGTTTTCATGTACATGTTTCTTTCATTTTTATGATAATAGTATAGCCCTTAGATTTTTGTATGTATTATTGATAAGTTATAGGTTTGTATGAATTTTTATAACATATTCATGTTGCAATAATTCCAGCTTGCTCCAAACTGAACAGATAGTAAGTAAGTAGGTGGGTAGGTAGGTAGGTAGGTAGGTAGGTAGGTAGGTAAGTTAGTTAGTTAGTAACTATTTTTTCATTTCAGTGACATGTGATTTTTTTTTACAAAAACACATATCGTGATATCGCTCGTTGATTTCAAGTTTGCTGTTATAATTACACAGCTTATTTATCCCCCGCCGAAAAGTTTTCGGCGGGGGATATAGAAATAGTCTCCGTCCGTCCGTCCGTCCGTCCGACCTTCCGTCCGTCCGTCCTTCCGTCCGACATTTTTGTCCGGAGCATATCTCTAAAAGTATTTGAGTTATCAACTTGAAACTTCATAGGTAGATAGACCTCATTGAGGAGGAGTGCAGTGCACAAGAATGATAACTCTACCCTGCATAATTTTTGAGTTATTGCCCTTTGTTATTTTTCAAAATTGATTTTTGTCCAGAGCATAACTCCAAAAGCCTATGAGATATCAACATGAAACTTCATAGGTGCATAGATCTCACTCAGGAGGTGTGCAGTGCACAAGAATGATAACTCTACCTTTCATAATTTTTGAGTTATTGCCCTTTGTTATTTTTCTTACTTAATTTTTCACCTGAGTGAGGCATAACTCAAAAAGTGTTTGAGATATCAACATGAAATGTCATAGGTGGATAGATCTTATTGAGAAGAAATGTTGTGCGCAAGAATGATAACTCTTCCCTATACAATTTTTGAGTTATTGCCCTTTGTTCTTTTTCATGCTATTTTGTCCAGAGCTTATCTTAAAAAGTATTTGAGGTATCAACTGGAAACTTCATAGGTGGATGGATCTCATTGAGGAGGAGTGCAGTGCACAAGAATGATAACTCTACCCTGCATAATTTTTGAGTTATTGCCCTTTGTTATTTTTCAAAATTAATTTTTGTCCAGAGCATAACTCAAAAGGCCTTTGAGATATCATTATGAAACTTCATAGGTGCATAGATCTAATTCAGGAGGTGTGCAGTGCACAAGAATGATAACTCTACCTTTCATAATTTTTGAGTTATTGCCCTTTGTTATTTTTCATACTTAATTTTTCAATTCAATTTTTTTCTCAAAAAATATTTGAGGTATCAACTTGAAACTTCATAGGTGGATAGATTTTACTGAGGAGGGATGCAGCACACAAGAATGATAACCTACCCTGCATTATTTTTCAGTTATTGCCCTTTGTTATTTTCAGCCATCAGTATTCACATAGGTTTCAAATCTGTTATCACTATAGCCATCAGTTTTCATTATCAAAAGACCTCTTAAAATGAAATTATTCTGCTCTACTACATATACATTTTTCCAATGAGCAAACACATTCGGCGGGGGATGGCCATGTTGACATGGCTCTTGTTTCATCTAATGATATATGTTTATTAAGCAAAATGTTAGGTGAATAAAGTTGGTCCGCCATGTTTTTTTCAAGTAACTGTGAATGTGCCTTTTGAGTTATCAAATTCTGTGCAATCTTTGCCGTTATACAGACAGTTTTTATGCCCCCGCCATGTAATAGCCGGGGCATATAGTGTTACCCTGTTCCGTCATTCCGTCCTTCCGTCCTTCCATCCTTCCGTCCTTCCGTCATTCTGTCATTCCGTCATCATCAGTTTCCGTTCATTATCTTAAGAACGGTTGCACACATTCAACTCAAATTTGACATATGAATATGTCATGAGAAAATACAGGTCAAGTTCGAATTTGGTCATGGTTCGATGATTTTTGGCAGAGTTATGCCCCTTCCTTTTACTTTGAAAATAATATAAAATTTCAGTTTCAGTACAACACATTCAACTCAAAATTGACATCTGGATATGTCATGAGAAAATACAGGTCAAGTTCGAATTTGGTTATTGTTCGATGATTTTTGGCAGAGTTATGCCCCTTTTACTTTGAAAATAATATGAAATTTTCAGTTTCCATTCATTATCTCCCCAACGGTACAACACATTCAACTCAAACTTGACGTATGGATATGTCATGAGAAAATACAGGTCAAGTTCGAATTTGGTAATGGTTCGATGATTTTTGGCAGAGTTATGCCCCTTTTACTTTGAAAATAATATGAAATTTTCAGTTTCCGTTCATTATCTCCCCAAAGGTACAACACATTCAACTCAAACTTGACATATGGATATGTCATGAAAAAAATACAGGTCAAGTTTGAATTTGGTCATGGTTCGATGATTTTTGGCAGAGTTATGCCCCTTTTACTTTGAAAACAATATGAAATTTTCAGTTTCCGTTCATTATCTCCCCAAAGGTACAACACATTCAACTCAAAATTGACATATGGATATATTTTTGGAATGCCCAGGCCAAGTTCGAATTTGGTCATGCTTCAATGATTTTTGGCACAGTTATGCCTCTTTCACTTTGAAAGTAATATGGAATTTTCAGTTCCCCAATGGTACAACACATTCAACTCAAATTTGACATATGGATATGTTTTTGGAATGCCCAGGCCAAGTTCGAATTTGGTCATGCTTTAATGATTTTTGGCAGAGTAATGCCCCTTTCACTTTGAAAATAATATGAAATTTACAGTTTCTGTTCATTATCTACCCAACAGTGTCACATATTCAACTTAAATTTGACATATGGATATGTCAAAGGAATGGGCAGGTCAAGTTGGAATTTGGTCATGGTTTGATGATTTTTTGGCAGAGTTATGTCCCTTTCACTTTGAAAATAATATAGATACATCTTAGGAATAATAATTTACGCTGAAGACTTGTGGGCATCTGTTTAAGGTTAGAATGCACAAAACTTCACCAAAATCGACGTTTTCAATGTTAAATTTGGTCCGGAGAGAAGTTGTCTCCAGTTTTCCAGCTACCCCGAGTGACTGCGTCGCACGGTATTTCCATCAAATTGTCGACCAATAGGCAATATCTTTACATGTGCATACTCGGAAAACACATCGCTAGCTAACTGCATTCCGATATTTTTACATAAATGTCTGTAATCTTCAAAAAATATGAAAAACTCACCTTATTTATCGTGTCAAACGTCCTAGACGGGTGCTCACAACGAGGAACGGAAGTTGCTCACAACATTTTAACCGATGGACATTTTTCACTCGTTGTGAGTTAAACGGGCGTGGTCACGGTTCGGAGTGTCAAGCGGATTATCCCGCATACAGAATATGAGCCGTGTCATGACAAAACCAACGTAATGCGTTTGCGACCAGCATGGATCCAGACCAGCCTGCGCATCCGCGCAGTCTGCTCAGGATCCATGCTGTTCGCTTACCAACTCTATTACAAGTAGAGAAACCATGGATCCTGATCAGACTGCGCGGATGCGCAGGCTGGTCTGGATCCATGCTGGTCGCAAACCCATTATGATGGTTTTGTCATGACGCGGCTCAATTATTGATCTTTGATCTGTGTTAATGGCCGAGACGTTATAACCAGAGAAAATTGATTGTTCTACATTAATTAAACCATCACTTATCGCGTGAACATTGGTCAACACGTCATCAATACGTCAGGTTTTCCTTCCAATGTCAAAACTCAGTACATTTTTCAATGCTCAAACTTTTGAGTCAATATCTGCTATTAGTTTGCTTCTCATTTTAAGTAATTTAGATTCGAACATTCTTTTTCATGCTATCTTGTCCTAATTTAATTTCAGTAACAGCCTGTACCCAAAATGTTATCTGCTGCTTTTCGTTCGTTTTAACAACTTTACCTGGAGAATCAATTCCCGCCATAATTTTGGTCTGATTTTGGCTATTTGCCTTTATTATAGGCGTTGATGTTTGTTGATTAAATACACTGCTTTCACAGGCACTTGTAGTAGAATCTGATAAACTTAGGTCCTTTTCATATAACATCCCGTTTGTTTTTTTTAAGAATTTCACTAAGCATCAGTGAATCCGAACCACCACTACTTTTTTACATCCGAATTTGTCTGAGTCCGAGTCACTGCCGTTACTGCGCTTTTTCCGTTTATGTTTTGCCATCAGAGGTCAAAGACTCTAGGACATATGTAATCCAATCGAAATGATTTTATAAGCACAATATTCCGATTTATGTATCGATTGTATAGATTTTCTCAACCACTTTGAAACATACGACCATTACGAGCACCTGGTCACACCTTGTCGTATAAAATAATAGATACTACTAGATTGCCACTATTGTTATTTATGGGCCTAACATCATTTTCATGGAAGGTATAATTATGGTGTTAGTGATAACTATTTAACAGTAAAAATCCTAGACTATCCGTACTTGTGCCTTATTTAACATTCTGCCCTGTTAATAAACGCTTTGGTCATACAAATTTACGCAACCATTATAAAACCTAGCAATTCTACCAAGTCTAAACAGATACTCTACAGCTTGTTTTCTTCCATCATAAACAGGTAGTTCCAAAGGGTTTGCGGCCTTGGAATAACAGTTATATGACACGTACAATAATGAGCCGCGCCATGACAAAAGTAGCATAATGCGACTAGCTATCAGTTTCTCTACTTGTAATAGGGTTTGCAAGCGAACGGCATGGATCCTGATCAGACTGCACGGATGCGCAGGCTGGTCTGGATCCATGCTGGTCGCAAACGCATTATGTTGGTTTTGTCATGGCGCGGCTCATATGTATCATAAAATACCAATGATTTACATTTTATGTTATAGATGCATTTCTCTGTTTTAGCTTACAGGATTACTGAGAATTAAAGCTGTACCGTTTATATCCTATAAACCAGAGGATAAAACTGAGAGGATCAAACATCTAGGAATGATAATGAAAGGTCTTTTAGCAGCAAGAGAAAAGCGACAGTTTTGTGGAACTAAATAACTGGATAACTTTTAACAAGCGTAACTGAAGCACTGTTGTTTAGTAAAAGGTTTTCAAACCGGTGAACATTTCAAATTTAGTTTTCCATCAACCAACGGTTCTTGAAAGGTGAATCGCATGCGTATAAATAATAAAATACTTCAGAAATAACCTTGAATTTCAGTCTTTTTATTGTCGGTGTAATAGACTTAAGTGTTACAATTAAAAATTATATAGTGCTTAGATAGATAATGCTTTCAACTATTCTAGTTTACTGTGAACACATTTTAACTGTTAAGAGTATTTCAAATTGATTTTTTATAGTTTATTGTTGTCGGAACACCGGTTTTTACGTATATAAACTAACTATCGTTGCAACAGAAATAGACTAAAAGATGATATTATTCCAATTTTTAATGCATCGCATGTTTCAAGTGTTTTCAGTGCTTTGATTTAAACCTTATTTGTCTCTTTATAATTGTTGTGCGTAAAGTTTATCTACTTATTTTCAATTTATTGTTTGTTTGTTTAATTAATTAATCAACAAGAACAATTAATTACGGAATGTAACAATTTGCAGAAAAAGAGCAAGCGTTTGTAGTATGTTGTGGTTATAGTCTTAAAAACTGTATGTTAGACAAACACATGTATATTGTAATTTAAGCCTATTTCTTATATTCATAACGTAACTCTTGAATATTTTATTTATTTATTTATTTATATATTTATTTTTATTTATTTATTTATTTATTTATTGTAATTATTGCATAAGTATTGCATTTGTATTTTATTTAAGTACGTTCTAAGTCTTAAACATTGTTGAACATAATTATGAATTAAATCATATTTAACGAGTCATTACTGATTCACGCGTCAAAAATATCTCCTGAACATTCAAAAGTTTCTATACGTATTTGGTATGACTCTAAAAGACCGCCATGAATTTATTCACCAGTTTTTGTAAACCTAGCTTATGCACTGCACTGCCAATCAAAGACGAAAAACATTTTCTTTAGATCAAGTAAAATAATGGTAACTTTCCTGTTATTACTGTTGTGTTTGTTGTTGTGGTCGTCGTCGTTTTCGTAATAAATAAATGCCTGGCTTATCTTGCCGACGATTTTTCACGACTAGACGTGTAAGGCATCATGTAATTGAAGTCAGCTGGAAATGAAGTTCTTTTTAGCCGCAAAATAGATATTTTATGACTATTAATAGTGTGCGGAGAGATGGACAGACAGACAGACGGACAAGCACGTTTCAGTATATGTTAACGTCATTATTCACATTTACTACTTGAATGAAATACTCAAAGAACTTAACCAGTTCAAAATTAAAATGAATCACATTTTATACCGAAATTACACTGTCAAAATCTAGTTGTTCAATAGACTGACGAAAGAAAAGGACTTTAACAACTTTACTTTTAACATTTACATAAGCATTAATATAACAATAGAAACTGAAACATATTTGACGTTTTGCATTTACAGATGTTTATTTCTTGACGATCAATGAGCAATTAGTTTGTAATTATTTGAAGCAATTACTTTATTTATAATATAGGACAAATGAACAGAGCACAGTTACACTTAAAAAAAAACATCAGTAAAAAATTAAAATAGAAATCTACATATTTTTGTTCTTTATTTGTTTGTTGTTATTGTTGTTTTTTTTCTCTCTCTTTTTTTTCATTTTTTTGTTTTGTTTAGAAGGACATTTGTTCTGCTAATAAATATTGTGTACAAAACATTTGTGTTAGTTTGTTTCATCACACATATATCACTCTAAACCAAAGACAAGGCGTATGCTTTATAATATTATTCAATGTGCTCTTAATTTGTTATCTGAGTGTTCAACAAAATTTTCAATTCAATCGAGTAGATATGACCGGCATCTATCTAGAACTTAAGGTGCTGTGTGTACTTGATACAAGATTATAGTAAATGCAATTCTCACTTTAATATTGGAGTTCTATCTAAGTGACACGATGTCATGCTACATGTCAGTGCAGTTTCTGGGATTTTAAATATTTATAAACTCTATGTTAACTAAGTGACACCAGAGCAAGACCAGCGTTAACACTTGGGCAAAATTAATGTTACCTTTACTAGATCATACTAAGTGTTAAATATCTAATCTCTGAACGTTGTAGTTTCACAAAATATGATTTTTATTAAAATATTATAAATATATCGGAAAATATGAGATTGGACAATATAAGGTCCTTCAGTATGCCTAAAGACCAAATTAAATAAAGCTCTGTCCTGTATGAGTCAACTTCACTAAATGTTGCACAAGCTAAGGTCATTGAAAACAAATAAATTCAGCCTTTTTACATCGCAACCCCATATGCGACATATTCTTAAAAATATGGACGATACTTATCCACCAACTTAGCAAATGCAGTCCTATGAGCTAGTCATATGGGCTAACTTCAGTTTACCTGAGAAGAATGATAAAGAATGGAGACAAGCCCCTCCCCCTCTTTGAATAAAGTTACCCTTAATGAAAAAAAACAAAATAAAATGATCTGTTCTATATCATTTCCTGCAGCTATAATATATTTTATATTTCACCGGTTTGGGGTATTCTCTATACTAATATCAGTTTATACAAAATTAAAAAAGGAACCGCAGTTGTGGAAAATTTTCATGTGAAAACTGGAAAGGATGTTATTGCATACGGAAAACATGTGTCAGGTAACAGTCAGAGTTGCATAAGCTTATCAGTCACCCAAGCTCGTTCGAAAGATATGATAATCTATTTTGACAGCAATAACTTATTTGTATAATGGTCTCATTGGTCTCCTGTGCATCAAAATAGAATCACCATAAAATCGATTTGCATACATATTTCGTATCATTCAGTAAATTACTGAATTCAAAATTTATAGGTCATCTTTTGGTAGATTATAACATTTAAGGACATGAATGGTAACATGTCCAGGGTTTGTTCTCTCAGTGCCTGAAAGAGAAAATTGACCCTTATTAAGCCTTAAATACATACACATGCATACATCGAGGCAGCCGCTTCTCAAAATCCCTCTCGTGGCGTGCACGTCACGGAGAAGGAAAGTCAGTGTCAAGTCATCCAAAGTACCAAAGATGATTGTTTGACCTGTCGTGACTAATTCGGGAGGGGGACGCTAACAAGAGCAGTTTTGTTAGACGATGCCCCGGAAGTACTGCAGGAAGAACAAATCGGAGAAAATTCAGCTTGAAAAGTCGCCGCTGATATGGGCTCTACGACCAGACCAGCAAGTGAGCAATTATTCTGGCCCATATGGGTTCGTACAAAGGAGGCAGCCATTTTTGATTCTCGGGATAGAATCAATATAACTTATGTAGAGATCCGAAAGATAATGTTACATACCATATATATAAACTCTTTTATTGATATTGTAGTTTAACATAAGGTTAATAAGGCTGTGTAAACTAACGTATAACTAGGTTAGGCCAAATTTGAATATTTTTCAGCCTATTTAAGCTATAGTGACTTATTCATCACTCAAATTGTAATCAATAATGTAAGTTTAGAGAGGACCAACTAAGGTTCATTAATATAACATTTGGTCAAAATCTACAATGTGGTTCTGTTTAAAAACGACGCCGGGGATACAACTTGCCATCACAAAAGTTCATCCCTGAGCATATTGTGTTGAGGTAATATACAAAATTTATGTTTATAATATACAAGAAAATGCAGTTTAACAATTAATTAACTTTAATCATTATATACATGCACATTATTTTCCAAATATGTTATCTAACTATAACACCCTATTAACACCATATTACTTGCACAATTTTACAGACAAAATAAGATCACAAATGTAGCATACATAGCATTATCAAAACATAGTTTCTATCTGATTTCTTCCACAACAAATTTATAGATTCTATAACAGTTTTCATAGTAAAGTCTAACGTATCCATTGATAGCTGGGAAATTAAAAAAAAAAACAATAACAACAACTTAAAATAAAAGTGACATCAACGAACCAGAAGTGTTTACTCTGGCGAGGCATTTTACTGTATTAAATTGCAGAGTGTATAAACCTTCATTAAAATTACCATATTTGATTTTACTATTTGAAAACTATTCAAAGATAAATTTCAGTTTTTGTGAAAAGAAGTCCTTGTAAAATCTTAAATCTATTATATTCTATTTTAACAGGATATCTATAAAATGTTGATGTTGGATGATATGAACTTATAACAATTCTGCTTAATCTTTCTTATTATTTCTTGTATATAATCACAGATTCTTGAATACATTTTACTATGTACATACAGTATGTCTTTCCTGCGCTTAAACAAGAGATTCTGTTTATAAAGTATAATAAGTAAATGCATTAAAATGTAAATAAATTTCAAACTTCAGGACTTTCATGAACACTTCTGTTATCAAAGATACTGTTAACTTAGATCTGATCATTGAAGTTTTACACCTGCTACCACCAGAATAGAGGCAGATCAGCCAGCACATGATGACAGTCTGACCAGTCTCTTATACTGTTAATTGATTCTAGTTCTACCTTGATATCCTCAAAATTGACGATAGTCAGTGAATATATATGCATGTATATTAAAGCTGGATGAACCCATGTAAGAAATGCAGTATTATTTTAGTGATCAAGGATAATTAAATCTCTTTAGTATAAAAATAGTTTTAAATCTGAATATACAATACTTGTATATGACATATCAATTACGAGACAAGAGCTTCTTATTACAAATTATAACAACTGAGTCATATCAGAGAGAGAGAGATTCTAAGATAAAAGATACTGTGATTATTTGTGTACTGTTTTGTCCAAAATATCAAGAATAAACAACAAAACATTAATAGACTATAACAAATTACAATTAACAAAAGCTAACAGAAACTTTGGAAATAAAATCTATGTGACACATACAGAAAACTCTGCATGTCAGTCATCAAAATATTGTACTTACATATTAAATCATTTATAAATAGATCTATTTCAAAGCTGGAATACACTACAGAAATCTAAATAATAGAAGAGATTCATTTACAGTATGATTTCCATCTCAGTGGTATATCATGTAACTGGGATTGACATCATTGTTCAGACTGTTCAATAATCATTTACTAAATCAATGTCCCTAATGAATGCCTCACCTTGTTATTACTGTACCTGAAATCAATCTACCATATGGTACACTGAAACCTACATTGCTACACTTCTACATCAAGTTTTATGTCAGAACAAACACAATCAATTTCAATACAACCTAAGGTAAAATTAGAAAGTTTTCTTTACCACATTTCTATATTTGTTAATGCTATCATAATTGGCCCCATATTTGTCATTTACATTTACCATTCCGAGATAAAACATATATGGAACTTTGTACAGCATTAATCAACTTTTAAAACTTACTAAAAATTCAAGCTATTTTAGCCTAACATACAACATGATGTTTTTCTACAGGATTTTGAGGCAATATTTCCGCCAAAAAAAGTTCAATCACTTAGGACTATAATTCAAGCTCAATTTAAATATTACATCTCGTACACTATAGCACTTAAACGTTGTAAATTATGTAGTATTTTTCATCCCTTACACTTACATATGATGAATTCACAATGACGTCCAACAAATAAGGCATTTTTTCCCTATAAACATAAACTAATAAAAAAATTATAAATCAAATTGTTGTCCTTCCATTAAAAAAAGGAAAACAAAACAAAAATTAATAGCACTTTTAAACTGAGGAAATTATGTTGTGTATAAAAGGGTAACACAGAGGGTATACCATAGTATACATATAGGTAAATATAGTTTGGTATGCAATGCAGTTGTGTAAAGTTCTTCAAATTAAAGCCAATCTAATATACACCAAATTATAGGGACCAACTGTATACATAAAGGTTTGCACATACATTAATTATTTTTTTAATTACATATTCTACTGTATAATATAAATGTATCAGTAAAAAGTAAAGTAAGCAATTAACAAATAAAAAGCAACAAAAATAAGTAAAACATTATACACATGTACTTCCAGAAATCATTATGAACCGGTAAAGCAACTAGGAATGTGGTACAAACATAAGCAATAGCTCTTTTGTATACAGAAAGACACCCCACACCGCTCCCCTTTCAAAATGGTCAAAATTCCGTACACTGGGAGAGACATTACAACATTGGCTATAATAAAGCTGAAAGACAAAATTAACACAAGTTTGTTCAAAAGAAATAAAAAAAATCTTTATTTTCATTATAGTAAAACTCGGAACACTATATCTATCCAAAACTTTATTACAAAATGATTTGCATCAACTTTAATTACAATCAGTATGTGATTCATTGAGATATTTCAACATATCTTGTAATAACGTGGAATGTTTTTGGGCGACTTTCAAAAATAGCTTTCAAATTTGTTTTAATACCGATTTCTGGAAATTTCAAAGAATTTGTGAATAGTGAAAGTGGCATTTCTTTCAGCTGTGAAGCTGGCATTTTGGAATTGTGAATGGGCTGTCTGTGAATGCTCAACACTGACATATAATGAAAAAGCACTACGGAAAAAATGGGCAAAAAATATCACATACTTTTAAGCTTTTTTTCGGATAATCACTGCAACACAAATTTTTCAGGAGCATAGATAATTACAAAAAGCTCTTATATCCAGACACTTGTATGATTATTATAGCAAAGTCATTTACATCATTCCTTTATTAAAATATATAATATACATGTAACACTGAGCAATAACTAAGCTATTTGCACCGAAGATTCCAGTAAAATAGTATATATTTTATATCAAAATATATTGAATTTCCATTTTATAAAATTATACTCTTTTAAACGTACATTTTCTATCTCCAGAAGAAAAGGCAAAATTGGCAACAATTAAGTTGAGAAATAAGACCTATATTTAATAAACATAACATTACCTGGGAAACTATGAGATTCAAGGCAAATAATACTTTTTAAAATTACGGAAGATCACATAAACTTGGCTCAAGTATCTTTCTCAAGAAATCAAAGGCCAACACCTGACAGGGATTGATCCAATGTGGCTAGCAATCCTTGGATTACTAGTCGGACATGTTAACCACTCAGCCCCACCAAGAAAAAACATGCCTTGGTTTAATGAAAAACTTAAACCAATGTTTTTCAGGGTGAAGAGCATTAAAAATGATCATTTATTTCTTTTGTTATCAATTGTTTTTTAGTCTACTTTTCCTTCACAAATGTAGATGTTTGTTTAATGTACCGTAAATGGAAAACAAAACAAAGAATTACAATCAATCTTCATTTGATACTTGTGATGCTCGGAAGCTTGGAATTTTGAGAAAAAAGGTAAAATATTATTAGCACTTAATCTGCTAAAAAAGAAAGCACTTAGCCTTTATTAGCACTGGGACTTATATTTATTATATTTTAATATGCCAGGTCAGCAGTATAGAGCCTGACCAGCCAACACAACCTTGTAGTCTGACTGGGCTCTATACTGTTTGATGATTCAATTTTCTCAATTTTTGTATTTTGTTATATAATCACTAAAATGTTTGAAAATGGTAAGGTTGGGCAAATCCATTATACACATTTAGAGTAAGAGTTAGTTAACTAGACTAGATTAAAGCTGTAGGAGAAAAAAAGAGAATGAACAATCGTAAAATAACCTTAACACAACAGATCAACAATATTATAACACTATATACATACAGATTTCTGAGTGAACCTATTTCCTTCATACTTAATGTGTAAGTTAGCATGGAGATAGTGACATAAAGTAACAACAGCAAATATAGATTTGAGCCGCGTCATGACAAAAACCAACATAATGAGTTTGCGACCAGCATGGATCCAGACCAGCCTGTGCATCCGCGCAGTCTGATCAGGATCCATGCCGTTCGCTATCAGTTTCTCTACTTGTAAAAGGCCTTTTAAGCGAACAGCATGGATCCTGATCAGACTGCGCGGATGCGCAGGCTGGTCTGGATCCATGCTGGTCGCAAACCCATTATGTTGGTTTTGTCATGACGCGGCTCTTTTTTTTCAGTTTTAGTTCCAGCTTACTTAATTTCCAACAACAAAAAGTGTTTCATCTGCAAATCTTTGAAGAAGCAGCCTTTTAAATTGTATGCAAGAATTGTCTTAAAATAAAAATAATTTTTGATTATGCTGGGTTCATATTTTCAAGCTAAACATTTTTTTACAAGTTTTACAAATTTGTTTGTTCACAACTCAAAATAACTATCCATGTAAAACAGCTATTACAAACGTTAATTAAATTAAATCAAAGTTCTGATTATTTTACTTCAAATTGAGAATTAAAAACATGAAATTAACTGTTTTTATAAAACACACAAACAAAAATACAACAGAATATTTTTTTTTAAATAAATTTTTTCAGTACAAATATTTTCTTACATAAAATATAATTTCCTGTTGAAATTTTTTGCTTAAGAAGTATAATGCTGTATGAAATGATTAACTTTCATTATAGTCGAAAAATAAAGTAATTTATCATAAAAGTCGTAAATAATTTCATTGAATTTTGTAGTACATCAAACCGATGCAATTACAAATACTTCACTATAATTACAGTAAGCAATTACAACTCTTTACTGCAATACCAGTAATCAATTACAATTTTTTGCTGAAATAAAAGTAATCAATTGAAATTACTTTCCATAATATCAGTAATCAAGTACAGGTCTTTTTCTGTAATAACAGTAATCAGTTACAATTTCTTACTGTTATACCAATGATCACAAATTACAATTCTTCACTACAAAAATAGTAATAAATTACAATTTCTTACTTAATAACAGTAATCAATTTCAACTCTTAACTATAATAACAGCAATCAATTAAAAAATTCAACAGTAATAACAGTAATTACAGTAATCAATTTCAAACATTAAACACATTTACAACAAAATTATCAACTATTAAGTAGAATTAAGATCAATTATGTACAGCTATATGGGTGAAATATATAATTCACATTCATTCATCTTATCATCCTATGATAAGCAATGAAATAATTACAGATCAGTTGTGATAGAAACTTATTCCTACTTTAAATTTAGCATTATAAGAAAATATGAAATATACATTTCTTTGATGTAAGTATTCCCATGTTTCACTTGTTTTCTGTGTATCAAACATGGTGCGTAACATGAAAATATGAATATAATGCGTAGAACCAGTTTCACATTTAACAATGTTAAATACCCATTAAGTTGTATATCACTTTTATAAAAGATGTAATATGCTTATAGATTAGTCATTAATGTATGAAACTACAATATATAAGAAATGATTTACAATGTATTTAACCAATTTTCATTAAAGTATTTCAATGAACTTATTTATTAAACAGTTAGCATTATTATTAATGATTTGTAAAAGATATCATGGCAGACTACCTGCAACTATTTTAGTATATATGATGATGTCCTGGGAAAGAACTGAATTATGATGTTAATTTTATCTATTTTTCAGCTTTATTAATGCTAGTATATATCACGATGAATATTTGGAATGAAACACTTTCGGCTGTCCTCCAAGAACCCCTTTTATATATAATTATGTACATGTATATGCATATATGTTATAGTTCTGCATAATTGCTCCCTTTCAAATCAGACATTGTCATTGTTTTTACTAAAATTCTAAATTTTATATATATAGTACATCTAAACTGAATTTCTAAATTTGTTATTTATAATACGTCTAAAATTGAAAGTTTCAGAATATATTTATATTATCAGAGAAAAAAATTACCTCCATTAAAAAAACAAAGCCAAAAAAACAACAAAGTATGATATACATGTATAACAGTCTTATACCAATAATGCTTCTATGAGATTTCTACTACACTTAAAATTAACTATGACTCTATAATGCTATTACAAAAATATCTTATTTCTCTTATCTATGCTAGCATATCATCTTAATAAGCACTTGAAAATTTAGAAGACGAACTTCTTGAGCAGAAAACTGACAAAAAGTTGAGAGCCTCACACCATTGTTTCATCTATTTTACCCTTTGAAGGCACATCACACTTTGTAAAACAAAAACAATATAAAAATTGCAACTTTCCTATGTAATATTCACACTTACCCTTTTTCAAATCAAATCAAATCAGAATTTATTTATTGTCGGTATATAAATATGTATATAACATTTCACAAAACATAAGCTATGTATAGCTTTTGACCGACATAGCTTTTGACTCTTATCCATTTTACTTAATAAATTTGAGATCTGAACCTCCCTCTTAAATCTCTTGTGTCTCATTGGTCGATTCTGATGAAAAAGTTAAATTTAACCAATGACAAAAGTCTATTTTAAGACAAAAATACGCTCTCTCTAAAACACATTTAGATAAATGTTTTAACTGTTAAATAACTTAAGTAGGTTTCAGAAAAAATAACACTTTGGAACTTATTTCATTAGCCAATTTAAGTAAACAGTTTTTATAACATTTTGGAACTTATTTTTCTTTAGCCAATTTACGTAAACATTTATTACAAAATTAACATCAGTTGAATTGTAAAAAAAATATCAAAGATGTTGGAATATGGAATAACAATCTGAAAACCTCTATATTTGTACTGTGATAAAGATCATATATATTAAAGGACTATTGTTCTTCATATTTTGATACTAAATTTTACAGAAATTTGATGATTTTTGTAGCAGTGACACAATTTTACAGGGTATGATAATTCCTCTCTGTCCTTGCCCTGTAGAATTTCAATCCGAAGAAAATGATGGCCACAATACCTAGACAAAGAACGATGCCACCAATAAATGAAGCTCCATCAAAATGCTGGCCTTGATCCGAGTCGCCAGTGTTGGCACTGGTATCCGATGATTGGGTGGAAGATCCATTATTAGGAGGCTGTGTTGTTACGTCAGGTTTCGGTGATGTAGATGTGCCAGCTATGAAATTAGAAAATTAACATATAAACAATAGCTAATACAATGCTTTATTTTGAATATCATTCTGGATTTCTTCCTTTGTGATTATCTTAAAACTTTACTACTCTTCTACTTTGATAAATGTATTATATAATGCAATATCAGTTATTAAAAAAAAAGATCTAGGTAAGGAGGCAAATCAGAAATATTAGCATCTGAATAAATTTTCAGTCTATTGTGTGCATGAGTACAATGTAACTAAATGGAAAATTAATCAATTAATGACACATCATCTTATTTTTGTGACTCTTTGTGCTAAGTAATTTCAAAATCCATTGATCTATGTAGAAGTTAGAGACCTGACAAATAATATACTGCAAATTCACTTATATTCGTGGGCATGAAATTTCGTGGTTTTATCAAAACGGCATTGTTGAGGGTTCTTCAATTTGTGGATTTTCAATTTCTTGTAAAAATATGAAATAAATAACCAAATGCAAAGTAATCTTACACGTAATTGCTGCTCATTTACTTACAGCATATACACTTCTTTCCGTATCACACAGCACTTGTCAATAAATTTAATCCTTGCCTCTGGGCATTTATATTACACAAAAATTGGCGGAAAAGCGCTGATGCATGTTTGTAATGTATAGAAAAGAGGCATTACAAGAAGTTTTTGTTGGGATAAAATTTTATCAGATCTTAGATTCGTGGATTGACCTACCCACGAAAACCAAATTCGTGCCCCACGAACAATAATGATTTTACTGTACCCTATAACAGACTATGTTAATTTTTTTACCTCTAAGTGTGACTTTGAACTTGTTGGTAGGGATGCAGGTGTTGTGCATGACACATTGTCTTATTAATGTGACGATTTGTGCTAAGTTTTTTCAAAATCCTTTGATCTATGAAAAAGTTATGGACTGGACATAAAATATACCTTATCACAGACTATTTTAATCTTTGACCTCTAGGTGTGACCTTGACCTTGGAGGTAGGTGACCAACTGTTGCACATGACACATCGTCTCATTACTGTGAACAATTGTGGCAAATATTTACAAAATCCCTTTAAAGATAAGAAAGTTTTGGACCTGACACAACATATACCCTCAAATAGACAATGTTGACCTTGAATATAAGCAAATGCCACCTTGATCCAGGAGGTTGGGGTCTGGTTGTTGCGCATGACACATCATTTTATTATAATAAACATTTGTGCCAAGTTATTTTGATAAATGACTAAGTTATGGTCTGGACACAAAAGTATGACAGACGGACAGATGGAGCCTATTTCTATATCCCCCTTTTTTCTTCGAAAAGGGGGGGACAATAAAAATGCATAAACGACAGAGTAACATAGCAAGCAATTATGGTGGCAGACAAATAAAAGTTAAGTATTAATACTTTTGGGAATTCATTAAAGAGAGACACATTTTTGTTAGATACTTACCATTACACTGGTGCTGGGGTGTATCTTGACAAAATATTGAAAAATTACTGCTTTTCACATGACATCCTGGAAAATATGAAATTTTATACATTATTATAATATCAGTTGACTTTCAGCTTACAGGTATCATAATTATTCTGTTATATAAAAGTTTCATAATTCACAATGCTTATTGATTAACTAGCATTATTGTAGATCGACCTTTACTGCAAGGACACTCCCAAATAATATATATGAGCTGCGTCATGACAAAACCAACATAGTGCGTTTGCAACCAGCATGGATCCAGACCAGCCTGCGCATCCATGCAGTCTGATCAGGATCCATGCTGTTCGCTACAGTTTCTCTACTTGTAATAGGGTTGGTAAGCGAACAGCATGGATCCTGATCCAGACCAGCCTACGCATCCGTGCAGTCTGATCAGGACTGCACGGATGCGTAGGCTGGTCTGGATCAATGCTGGTCACAAACGCACTTTGTTGGTTTTGTCGTGATGTGGCTCATATTATCTTTGCCAACTGCAGAGTTATTTAAGGAATTGTTAGAAAATTGTCTTAAAAAATTGGTAGTAAATAGAAATCATATTTTGTAAATACATGCATTGACATTGTATCCCTGAATTCTCACATTTTTCCAGTCCTGATTGTATAAATCATAAAGTGTATGTAGTGATATATATACTAATTAGGTGATAATAAACTATAGTTATACAAATGTTATTCAAATTATTGATATGTGATTACTCCATCTAGAACAAATTAATCACAGCAATGAACAGCTACAAGTAAAACTACACTTAAATGTAGGAAATACAGTCTAACTTATCCAAGTGACTATGTGATTCTTTTCCCTCCCCACCCCAAACTAACAAAATTGAATATTCAAATTATATGGAAAAAAAAGCACTTTAGCTTTAAATTGTCTTAACATCAATCACTCTCTAGTTTTGATATTGTACCCCCTGAACAGGTAAAAAACTAATAGCTTTTTCAATACAAAGAACAAGAATAACATAGAAACCCCTAATCTGTGAGTGGAAAAGGAATAACAATGAACAAATCTCACCGACCAATGTACAAAATACAACAATAATATTAGGATCTCAGTATCTTTTAGTTAAATTATTCTTATGATGACTAAAAACATTCATTATTATCGCCTGTAATATTAATTGTTGCTACAAAAGGTGAGAAAATGTGGCAATACAGTTTCTATGGTTACCTTCATGTGGATTGTTGTCAGAACCTGTACAAGTGATATAAGTACAGTTTTGGTCAACATGTGAGCAGCATTCAGTACTGGTGTCGTAGGTCACACATACATCTGTTGGTTGGGGTGTGGTTGATGCGGTTGCTGGTGTTGCTGGGCCACACTGGTTAATGTTGGTATCTGGCTTACAGTGGGCACTAACATTGCTCACACAAGCTGCAAAATAACCATATATACAATCAGCTAAATGATATAGTCATCTCTTCATTAAAACTATCTCTTTATAATTTGAAATACTGACAATAATTGTTTAATACCTATAGTCAGTTTTTCACATGTAAATAACTTCTATGTAAAGTTTTCATCATAAAGTGTATACATGTATATATATGTAAGTCTATCTGACGTTACCTTCTAGTGCTGATTCATTCAAGCTTGTACAGTTTGTAAACGAACAGTTTGCTATCCCACAACATGTATCCCTATCTGTACCTGCTGCACAAGGATCTGGTACTGCTGTTGGTGCCTGGCTGGTAGTCGGTTTAACTGCAATGATTATGTTACATATTAAACTAAGTGTGAAAAGTATTTCAGCCAGAAACATGAAATTTAATATAACAAAACATAAACCTTAATATAACAAAACACAAAACTTAACATAACAAAACATAAAACTTAACATAACAAAACATAAAACTTATCATAACAAAACATAAAACTTAACATAACAAAACATAAAACTTAACATAACAAAACATAAATCTTAATATGACAAAACATAAATCTTAACATAACAAAACATAAAATTTAACATAACAAAACATAAAACTTAACATAACAAAACATAAAACTTATAAGTATTTTTGATAACATATATCAGAAACCTCAAATTCATTTTGGTCATATAAAGACAATATTACAGGCATAACAAGGCAGCAATGTTGACCATAAATGGGAACTTTTTTCAATGATCAAGTGGGAGATTTTTCTTCAAAAAAAAAAGGAAAATTTTAGAATATGCAATAAACAAACAAGAAAGTTCTGATATCAAAAAGAAGGAGATTTCTTAAATTTGTGGGAAAAAAAAACCCCTTCTTTTAAGAAAAATCTTCGAAAATATGGCTGCAGAAACGCTAAAAGTGGGAGAGTTCACATGTTTGATGTTCACATCTTCATCAGGATTCAAATCTAAAACAATGAGGTATGGGTGATCTTTATATAAACTTTTTTATCTACTACATTTACTAATGATTTTAAAATAATACAATTTTTCCCATCTGACTTTCAATGACCTTGGCACACATAAATACCGTACATAAACTAATTTAATGTTCCGTAACAAAATATTATTCTGTTACCTGTATTTAAAGTAGGGTTTTATCCATTAATGATTTTGTGCAAGCAAAACTTTTTAAGGAAATTTTCAAGAAAAGGGTATAAGATGGTCCTGCAACAGTGACCAAAATTTGTTTTTTGGGGAAATTACCAAATAAATAGTTTCTATATTAAAACAAAGTTTGTTCTGGATAAATAAGCAATTATTGAATAGAAACCTTATCAAAATGTCTTTTAACAGTGAATACAAATGAGCCATGCACGACAAAACCAACATAATGGGTTTGCGACCAACATGGATCCAGACCAGCCTGCGCATCCGCGCAGTCTGATCAGGGTTCATGTTGTTCAAATACCAACCCTATTACAAGTAGAGAAACTGATAGCCAACAGCATGGATCCTGATCAGACTGCGCGGATGCGTAGGCTGGTCTGGATCCATGCTGGTCGCAAACGCACTATTTTGGTTTTGTCGTCATGCGGCTTAAATGATGTTGCCCTTGAAAATGTGGCTTATAAATATTTATCACATAGACATATTACAAAAAGCATCTTACTGTTTATTTGAGAAACAAATTCAATTATTGCAACTTTATCTATATTAAATACTTTCAAGTTCACTTCCTTGAACTCACTGGAGTACAAAATTTCATATGAGAACAAATAGTTGTGTTTCAAGTAAGACAGAAACCATTATGATCCCTGCATTCAGTATTAACCACAGTAACCTCAAGCCTACTTCACTTTTAAAGCTGCACACCTCCAGATAAGCCAAAACATTTCAAGAAATTCAATCCTTAAAAAATGTATTTAAATCTTACAATAAGTACAAAGATTCAATGGCTAATTAATTCTTTATGTGTTATGTGCCATTAATGACTTATTTTGCAGTATCAATCACTATAATTGTACTGCGTTACTAATGCAGTAAAAGGTATATATGTATATTTTGACCTCTCTTTTGGTAATTAACGTGGATTGTAAGTGCTGTTTGCAATGTGTAAGTTACTTTCTTTGTTCACTTCACAATATTTTACTTTTAATTACATTTTCAAAATTTTCATGAAAATTTGCATGAATCTGGAGGCATGCTGCTTTAAACTACTATTAGTTTCATATCATTTTGAAAATATTAATCTACAATTTAAATCACTATAATATCAAATAACTAAACCCATAAATCAAATTCAGACAAACATTTTCTTTCTTTTGCCAAATATCCATTAATTTCACATAATAAAAAAAAACTTTAAGGTTCTTTAAATGTTAATGTCATGTGTAACTGTGTATAGAAATCAATGTTTAGATAATATATATAATGTATGTAATAAACAGAAAGTACAAAGAGCATCCTAAAACAAAAGAAGACATACCATTATAAATAAAGAATATTCCAATAAATAACATTACTCTAGTGAGATCCATTTCTACACTTTCTAACTGTGATAGTTGCTGTATTTAATGTTATCCGAGCAAAATGTCAACGTACAGAATGTTGTAATATAATGAGGCCCTTATTAAACATATGATTCACAATATTTTAGTATATTATAGTTATAAGTATTTCTTTTAACTACATACAGACAGAAGTAATGTAGATCATGATAAATGTTTGAATTCAAGGTACTGGTCTGCCACATGTGATGACAGTCAGGTTCTTGTATATCATGATTCATCCATATTAAAGATCCTGTATGTTGTAATTGAGGTTGTTACCACACTTAAGTCAAATTTAATATATGTATACATTTATGCTAATAAAACAATTTTCAAACATCAAAGAATATGTAAAATATGTACTGCAAATATTTGTGCACATTATATGTAATCATTAAAATATATGCATTCATTTCTTATTGGAAAATTTGACTTAAACTTTATAGAAAATAAATTTCTAATTACCTCCCTTTATTTACATGAAATGTTAAATTCGGTAATATCTTTATAAATAATGCTTTTTAGAACTTACAATATTGATCAATCTTAATTTGAGCATCATCTTTATAATATAAAACCATAAAAAATTTGTATTACAGGATCTGTAAAGGATTATTCAGATTTAAGGTGGATACATATAGATACTTTCATTTGCTCAATATTTGGAAAGCAAAACATTTTTAAAATTACATACATAAGTATATTAACTATGCATAAACAACATACATTTTACTTTTACATATAATGCATAAACAAACATTATTGAATTAACTATTCCATTTAAATACATGTATATTAAGCCTTAATTAAGTATTTTAGCATGTAAATAATTCAAACAAAATTGAGGATAAGTAAAAAAAATACGTTCATGCTATTATAATGACCATTGGTACAGACTACTCTCCAGTTGAATGATCTTGTTGAAAACGGAAAATGATGTTGGAAAATATTGAATTTGTCTAACATTTTCATCTGGTTTCCTGACTACAAGTGATTTGGATCATACAGTTATTTTTCATATAAAAAAAATAAGGGGCTGAAGCACAACACAAAATGATGAACTTTATGTTGGTGAATTTTTTTTTTGCAATTTTAACATCTTGAAATTAACAACTAATATGATGACCATGAAGTTATCACTATAGTATTATGAAATATTTCATCAGTTTAATATTTATATACAAGTTTTTGTATCATTTCAAAAGCAATAGAGTTAATAAAAATAATCGATTTCAGTAAAATTTCTGTGGGACATGAAAATGTTGATTTGTACAATTTTATCATAAACTTAAATAACATCTACCCTACATGTTCAAACATTCCTGCATTAAAGCACAATAATAATTATAGTAAACATCTAATGTGAGACAAATACACTCATTCATTCACAAATAGTTTGCTTTAATATGCAAAAAAAATCAGTAATATTTACTATTAAGAAATAGATCTAATAAACAATGATTTGGATAGAAGTTGATCAAGAAAAAATTCCACAATATAAAACTGTATGTATGGGCCTCTATTATGAAGTCAACATAAAGCATACATGTGTCACTGACTAACATATCAGAAAAAGAATGGTCTGTATTGATTTACTATATATATTTACACTGCTCGGTAAAGCTGTCTTTTATAAGGTACGGATATTGAATTGTTGTTGTAGCATCTGTTGAACATGTAAATAGATGTTTAATTATTTTACATACAAACCGTCATACAGTTATGCTGTTATCAGATAACATTCACACTACTGAACATTTGCTATAGAAATTCCTAGCCCAAGGTCAATATATACCTGGATGATAAATGATCATTCTACATGTATGTTTATATACTGAAAACATAATATTTTAATTCAACAGTTATTTAATATCATATATTATATATCAATTGTATGATTATGTAATGGTTTAGAGCTTTTCACTATTTAGAGGAAAGAATGTGTAAGCAATGGGACATCTTAGCCCGTACAGCTACAAAACAGTATAAAGAGGGTTCCTGGGTCTATGCCCGGTCAGGCTGCACATTTTTTCCGCCCTGTGACAATTGACGCCAAACATGAGGCCATGACTACATATTACTCAGAGTTAAATGGACCTTTCCGGTTTTTCATAGCAGAACATTTAGCCACACCTTTTCCATTCATTGCTAGGTTTAACTGCTCACAAACAGTATCACAAACATAACCACGTGTTCTTTGGTGCAAACCAGGTCAACCAGTGACTATGTATTATCTCAGTGTAGCAATTGGATAACAAAGTAGCAAATTTACATCAATCTGTAAACACTGGAAAGGTCCATTCACATTACTCTGTAACCCTGAGAAATTTGAGGACAAATTTCAACACAGCAGGGAAGTATTTAACGCTTTAGAACTGATTACTATTAAAGAAGGCGACCAGAAAGTTCAGTCATAACAGCCACGGAACAGGATTCCTAAGGTCCTGGGTTTGAGTCCCAGTAAGGCTGCACATCTAACTCACCCTGTGACACTTGATACACTATTGGTTAGATAACTTTTTAATCAATATCTCTTTACAAAGGCTGTTAGAAATAAGTAACCAAGCATGTTATTCAAGAATTATAACAGGAAATTATCTTAAGTTAAGGACCCTTACAGTTGCTGTTATCTTGTTTAATTGATATTTCCATCATAATTTTACTATACATTGTATTGTACACTACAAATTATACCACAAAGCTCAAAGGAAGGTTATCATTTTCTTCACAAAAGAAAAAGAAAGGAAATTAAATTTTGTTGGCCATAACATGAATTAAGTCAACTCAGTTACATCAGCCTAGTCCCAGGTCTGTAATATAAAACTAAAGTCAATATGTTTCATGAAATTTGGTCCTTACAAACATACAAGTAAACATGTAACTAAGTAATTCTCTTTAATTAATTTATTAAATAAATGAGAAAATACATTCAATACCCCTTTCATCTTGCAATAAGAAAAGATAGATATCAGTAACTTTACATATTCACTGCATGAAATCTACATACCATACATTCAATACTGCATTTCATGGTAGAATAGTTAAGTTTTACAAAATATTCATAAAATTGTATGAAGAAATAAGAGTATCTTCAACTTATACTTCCTCATAAACCTTGTATTATGCCTAGTGTAGATACAGACTTGTTTATCAATAATTTACATAAATTACGATTTTGTTAAGTTTAAATGAATTTTAAGTCAAGTTACAACAGTACATATATTTCAGTCACACACTGGTAGCTGGAGTGTTCCTTCATTCTGTAGCTGAGTTAACCTAAACTTTAATTTCCACAGGTTACTAGTACTGTCAACTTCTCCACATTGGCAAATAGTTTTAAACAGCAGTGGAGGATAAATATCAACAGTTATATTGATACCTACCATAAATTAGAGTGACTTTCCAAAATCTGGGAAGTGAAGGGGAGGTGAGAACAAAACAAATAGTTCAAAATCACAGACTTTGTTTTGAAACAGCACCATCACTGACATCCCTTACCACCAGGTTAAGCAGTATTAATCAACCTTAGCTACCTACCAACGGTCCCACACCACGAGTATAAATGATACACTTACAGCAACAGATATAACTACTTAGCACTCTATACCCAATATGACTGTAACAGCCCCCAGTTTACTACATCATTTATGCTGTTTATGAAAAACATAACAAAACAAGAGGGCCATGATGGCCCTGAGGTCGCTCACCTGTATATAGGCCCCCGGAGCGGTCCAGTTTTAACCCCAGGGCTTTTATTTTAACAAACTTGGAAGACACCCATTAGAAGATGTTTCATGTTAAGTTTTTACTACACACATATAATGAAAAACAATGATCTCCCCCCGGCATGGCCAATTTTAACCCAAGGGCTTTTATTTAAACAAACTTGGTAGACACCCATAAGAAGATATTTCATGCTAAACATCTAAGCTCTAGCTCATTGGGTTTTATAAAAGAAGATTTTTTAAGTTTTTCCTAAACACATATAGTTAACAACAATGACACCCCTGGGGCAGGGCAAGTTTTTACCCCAGGGCATTTATTTGAACAAACTTTGTAGACACTTACTAGAAGATGTTTCATGCTTAATATCTAAACTCTAGCTATTTGGGTTTTTTCAAAGAAGATTTTTTCAGTTTTTGCTATACACATATAAGGAAAATCAATGACCCCCCCGGGCGGGGCCAATTTTGACCCCAGGGCTTTTATTTGAACAAAGTTGGTAGACACCCATTAGAACATGTTTCATGCTAAATATCTTAGCTCTAGCTCTTTGAGTTCTTTAAAAGAAGATTTTTTAAGTTTTTACTATATGCATATAGGGAAAATCAATGACCCCCTGGGGCTGGGCCAATTTTGACCCCAGGGCTTTTATTTGAACAAACTTGGTAGACACTCATTAGAAGATGTTTCATGCTAAATATCTTAGCTCTAGCTCTTTGGGCTTTTTAAAAGAAGACATTTAAAGTTTTTCTTTTGGTTGCCATGGCAACCAGAGTTCTGCAGGGAATTAAATTCTTTGAACAATTTTTAAAGGTGACCACCAAAGGAACATTCCTGTGAAGTTTGGATGAAATTGGCTTAGTGGTTTATGAGGAGATGTCATTTAAAGTAAAAGTTTACGGACGGACGATGGCCGGACGTTGGACTCTTATTATATAGATACATGCATTCTATAACATGACTCGTGATTTTGTCATTATACACACATTATACACACATCTTAAACTGCCAATAAACACCATTTACAGACAACATGTATATACAACTGTTATTAATACAGGGCTGCCAACAGCAAATTGCAAAATCAGAGGAAAATACGCGGGGGGTCAAGGGGGCTGCGCAAGCCCCCTTTGCGGGTCCAGGGCAGAGCCCTGGTGGGGGCCCAGGGGGCGAAGCCCGTGGAAGTTCCTGGATTCTGATGATTCAGTATGCCCTAAAATCAATTTCCTGGACACTAAATTTGACTTCCTTGGTTGCCTTTAAAGCCATTCAGAGACACTTTAGTTGGACTTCAGGTTTTCATCAGCCCTCAAAACAAATATCCGACATTTTGACGCATTTTGACAACAGACAAGAGCGACAATGTAAACTGTAATTTGATTGGTTATTCTAAAATAGAATGCCGGAAAAGACTCGATTTGACCAATGAGAAAAGCGCTTACAGACGTACCATAGGCGGCTAGCGTAACGATAAAAGCCGAAGCGTGCCGGTTTTTGGGTACTGTATAAAATATGACGAATGAATTTATTGTCTTTGTCGAATTTACATCGATCTCAAAAATGACCCAGGAGCTCACGAAATCCGCGGATTTCCGCGAATCCGCGGAAAATCGGCAGCCCTGTATTACATGCACTTCTTCTGATAAACAAAGGCAACAATAATAAATAAATTAATTGATATTTTCCGTTCCTATTACGTTTTCTTTTTTATATAACATCTCTCAGACACTATCTTAACAGGTTTTGAATTTAATCCTTTATCCATATCAGTTGATATTTATATAAGAAGAGTATCTATCTGGGTAATGATTATCATGCTTAGAATGCAACTCATTCATAAAGGCACCAGAATAACACCATTTTAAACTTACATGGTGGTGTAGACTGATTTTCTTGCATATCAGACTGGTGTTTCGGTTAGTATAGCCCATGCTGGAAATTTCATCTGGCATGGGGTGGTGCCAGATGAGTTGCATGTTTTACAAACACTTTGATCAATGGTGTAATTTTTGTGCATTTTATGAATGAACCATGTTAAATTCCATGAATTATTGAGGTAAACAGTTTTAATATGAAAGACTATGCAAGACAAAAATATCTGACATATGTTACAAATGGGTACACGCCAATATTCGAATCAGAACATAGTTTCAATGATCCACACAGATTTACAATTTAAACAAATATCAGCAGCTAAGATTAAGTACATGTAGTATAAACATGCAAATATGATGGCATAAAATTGTAATCATTCTTCTTGTTTTTGTTTGTTTTGGGTTTTACATCACATCGACACAGTATAGGTCATATCGCGACGTTCCACCTTTACTGGTGGAGGAAGACCTCAGGTGCCCTTCAATGCATTATTTCAGACACGAACGGGCACCTGAGTAGAACCACTGACGTTCCGTAAGCTAGCTGGATAGCTTCCTCACATGAAAGAATCCAAAGTCCCTGTCGGGATTCCAACCCACAGCGGTGAGGGGCAAGTGGTTTGAAGTCAACCACTCGGCCACAGACGCCCCTCATTCTTCTTGAAAAGGCTATTATTTTTACCTGGACAAAAGTATTCTATGTACTGCTTCCAGGAAATACTGCATGTATGCCAATGACACCTTATAAAACTTTATAAAGTTATCTTTAAACACTCAAACAATATTTGATGAAAATCCAATCAAAACTGTGATGTCTAAAGTGTTAAAACAGTTCTCACATGTTTTGACTGTGTGACTTTGTTTCTAAATCAAGATGACCGACATTCAATCCTGATCAAAACACATGAATCTGGATGTGTTGTTTTAAGAATTTAGTTTACCTTGAGATTTACAGGTCTGGTCCACTGTGTTGTTCTTACATTTATCTTCATCTGTCCAACTTTGTAAATGACATTCTGTAAAACAAGAGCATGGCAATCAGTGATAACACTCTTGTCTGATAAAAATTCTAAGTTAAAAAGGGGGCACAACTCCAAAAATATTTCTTTCTAATTTATCCCTCTTGTCTAACATGGTAAGCATATATTAGTTTATACAAAATTTTAGTTCAATTGTGTTGGAAGCTATAAGCTTATTGAAACACTCTCGAATCCGTTCCTGGAACCAACCAGTACTAAGCAATGAATGTAAGCATGTACAGTGGAACCTGTCTAATCCGAACTCGTCTGGACCAGAAGAAAAGTTCGGATTAGAAAGGTTTCCTGATTAAAAGGTTTTTTACATGTTTGTTCATGTTATTGGCAGAATAGTTTAAGGAAAGAAAACTGGAATGCATTTGAAATTGCAATATCAATATTTTATTATTGCCATGTCTTATCGTTCATTAGACATAAGAATTATGTTTATTAAATTAATATAAAAATAAATTATGTGAATACAAAAATAAAAAAAATGTAGATAAATAAGCAAAAATATAATATCTTCACGGTTAAGTTAATCTAGGATGTTAAACAGAAGGCTGAGTCATAATTAAATATTCGTACCAGCATTTGTCAATTGTTGTTTACTCTTATCCGATTCAATGATTATCAGAATTCACTGACAGTTTCCATTAATTTCCATTACATAATCAGATGTCATTAAATTTGTTACAAAAGATTAAAAGATATTTCTGTTGCATCATATTTAAATATTTATTGAAGGTGGCGAAAAACAATCAATTAAGCAATTAAAGTAGATATCAAGACAAGCTAAGTGTAATTTTCACACCTTCGCAGATAATACGTTTCACCCATTAATCAAGAGAAAATACTCTTATCAGTTTGGTGTAAGAGTAACACACCTGCAAGATGTGCGATTTTTTTGTTATTTTAAATGTAGGTGTGACATTTGGCAAAATCTGTTCGGATCCCAGAGGTTAATTTTAGAGTAAAATAAGAACAAAAATTGAAAAACTCGTCCGGAATTCTGAGTAGACAGGTTCCGGATCCGAAAGGTTTTTTTACTATTGAAAATAGAACGAAAAAAATCGGGACCGGACACTTCGTTCGGATAAGAAAGGATTCCGGATTAGAAGGGTTCGGATTAGCAAGGCTCCACTGTATTGATAACTTTTAAAATGTTTGAATAATTGGGTTATATTAAATGTTTGAATAAATGGATTCAGTGATTTTTTTCACTGTATTTTACAGCGGAATAAAGGCTGTTTCCCCTAGCCCAAAATAGGTATATTTTCCCCTAAAAATGCCAATATTTTTCCCCAAAAATGCCTCATGCTCTTCCTTACCAGAACCATGACTAACAGCATCTGACTTATATCATCTAGAAGACAGAAATCTGTCCCTATATAATAGCCTTTGCTAAGTACCATGCATGTAAAATTGAATTGATATTTTTTTTTTCATTAAACGTGTGGGTAAATTCCATTTTCAAAAATCAGTGGGATTACATTAAAGTTTTTGCATGACTACAAAGACTACGATGATGAAGCATTATAATAGCTCGACCTTTTCTTCGAAACAGATGAGCTAAAAAGAAACTTAAATTTGCTGTAACTATAACAAGTTTGTTGTCAGTGAACAAAGTAAAGAATCTATTTGTTTTTCAAAGCAAAATAGAAATTGCTGGCTATTTCATCATTTCTTCATTTTACCAATCATTTAATTACAGACTCCATAATTTGAAAATGTTGATTAACATAGCAATACATTACTACTACGTTTTCAATGCTAATAAGGAAATATATGTTTACATTTTTTTATAAAGACACTATTAAGGTCATACGACAACTATCAAGCTTTAGTTGTAAAGGAAAACTTTGAATTTAGGTGCTACCAACCTTCTGTAAACTTGCTGGAAAGCTTCCTTACATGAAATAAAACCAAAGTCCTTTACAAGTTCAAACCCAGCACTGGTGAGGTGCAAGTGGTTCAAAGTCAGGGGCCTTTAGCATTTGGCATCAGTGGCTACAGGAAGACATTATAATGTAAGTAGATATTGATAGAATTAAATACCTTCTCTTGTTTTATTGGTATCTTCAGTTACATTAGCATCATCACATGTGAACCACATACATTCTGTTTGACTGCAACATGTTTCATTTGTAGTCAGTGCAAAACATCCATCTGAAATAAAAATTAATAGCTGATAGCCTGATACAGAGATTAAAACAAGAGGGCCATAATGGCCCACAATCGTTCACCTGAGTAGATGATTCAAATGAACAAGATTGTACTATTCAGACCGGTAGTAACATCAATTTAAGTGCGCAGGTAAAGAATAAATTTGAATTGACAGGTTTTACCATTGATGAATATATTTTGATTTAGATGTGCACAGTATACAATAGATATTTTTTTGAACACTATAAATTAGGTTTGCCGAACCACAACCTGTTTTATGTTACAGTTGTTTGACCGGTATGGCGCAGTTTTTAGACTTTTACTGTCTGCATGCAAATTAACAAATTGTTGGTATAAACAAATGTACCTGCTAGAAGATATTTGATTTGGCTTCAAACCTAACAATTATCAGAAAATATATTATCTCTTTTCTAGCAACTGCTTGATTTAATCTGATTGGTTTCCCCAGTTCTGAAGCAAGTTTACCAGTTCCAATGCACATAACAAATCATTTGTAATATTACCTTCGAAGAATGAGATTGACTATTTTTGCGAGCTAATACTAAATCAGTACACTACAACCTGTCAGCCTTATTCATTATTTTATTATTCATTCTGGGTATTGTTAACGAAATTACTGCACCATCATGTTTGGTGTAATTTAAAGCAGAACTACAATTGGAACTGCATTTGACTTTTGTCATTTTTTTCTGGTAAGTTCTGCTTAAAAACAGGGATCAAACATAATGTCAAAAATAAAAATAAGTTTTTGTTTCGCAATAATGCTTGAACATCATTCATTTTAGTCCCATTATTTATAAATACTTTCTATAAATAATCTATCTTTTAATTTTATCCATAAAATAGATACATCTTTAGTTTATAAAATAATATCTGTCAACACTGACATAGACATCAATATTTATTGTCCTAATTGCTCTAACTTCTCCATTTTATTTTATTAGATTAAATAGAGGATATTTGTTTCTTTTGCATATAATATTGAAATATATTTCACTGAGTGAACACCAGATGCAATATTTTCAAGAGTGGTGTAGCCACGAGTGAAAATAGAATAGCTGGTGTTCATGTATGAAATATATTTCAATCTTATATGTAAAACAAATAAATTTTCTATTTATTTCATGCTTATTAAGTGATTTCAAGTATTTTTTACTGATTTTGCGGCGTAACGTCACGCATTCTACTTTATGATGTCATCACATCATGACGTCACATCATCAATTTTGAAATAGTTCTGTTAAATTTCTCTATTTTTTTTTACATTTTTAACATGATGTATGATGACATCGACTTTGTTTTCCAAAAGAAGCAAAATTTATGTACGGAGCCAGTAGTTTAAAAATAGCGCAGAAACAATTATTGCTCTATATTCTATATGCATACTGCATAACTAATCAAGGGCCATAACACTGTGTTGAAGGGTCTAAGGCGACGATATGCACACCTCCTCTTGGTTTTCAAGGTTCCCAAAAAGTTTCGTTGAATTTAAGCCTCTAGTTACAGAGAAGTAGAGCAGAAACGATTATTGCTTTATATGCAAACTGCATAACTAGTCAAGGGCCATAACTCCGAGTTAAAGGGTCTGACTGTTACAAAGCAAGGAAATGCTCATCTCCTCTTGATATTGATTCTTCCCAAAGTTTTGTTGAATTCCAGGCAGTTGTTGCAGAGAAATAGCGCACAAACAATTATTGCTCTATATGCATACTGCATAACTAATCAAGGGCCATAACTCTGAGTTTAAGGGTCTGACCGGAACAAGTTAACGATATGTGCATCTCCTCTTACATTGTTTTTTTCACCAAAATATTCGGCAAGATTCGGCCCCATTCCCCCCTCAAAATAGTATGTTTTTTTCCCCTCTCAAAGCCGAAATTTCTCCCTCATATGGCAGCCAAAATTTGCCTGCAATGGATACTATTTTTTCCGCATATAACTGCCGAAAAATGTTTTATATTAAGCCTGTAAGACTTACTGTTAAGCAGAGTTGTTAACAAATTGTTCCCGGGTATGTAAGGGGAGCTACTCCTGGCGTCCCAACAAGTTTAACATGCGACTCTTTAAATTCTGCTGTCAATTATTGAATATTTTAGATCCGTATATTAAGAAAAAGCGACGTATTTTAAATTTGTGTTGCAAGAGTTGCTCCCCTTTTCTACTCACTGGAAAGAAAACAATGTCAAACAAAAGTAAATCTTACAGTGGTAAGTGATGTATTGAAATATGCATTGGATTCGTTTTTGTTTCTTCATTTGTGAAGAAATAAAATTCCCCCTCCTTTTGCATTTTTCCCCCTCCAAACGGCACCGACCCCCTTTTCCAAAAAGTGAAAAAAAACACTGTCTTAGTATTGAAGGTTCCCCATAAAGTTTTCATGAATTCCAGCCAGTAGTTGCAGAGAAGTAATGTGGAAACGATTATTGCTCAATATGCATACTGTTAAACTAATCAAAGGCGATAATTCTTGAGTTATAGGGTCTGACTGGAACAAGGCATTGGTATTAAAGGTTTCCATAAAGTTTTGTTGAATTCCAGCCAGTAGTTGCAGACAAGTTATGCGGAAACAGTGATTTTTTTTTCCGAATAAAGGCTGTTTCCCCTATACCAAAATAGGTATATTTTCCTCTAAAAATGCTATTATTTGCCCCTAAAATTCCCTGTGCACGTTCTTCACTTTAGTCTTAACAGTAGCTAACTTATATCAGCTAGAAGACAGACCCAGCAAACAAAAGACGTTGTACCAACGTTGTACTGACGTTAGACCCTGACGTTGGGTAAACGTTGGCAGAAGGTTGGATTTGAAAGTTTTTTAGACGTCAGAAACCGACGTCTATACAACGTCATAAAATGACCTTTATCCAACCTTTTCTGACCATAATCCACCCGTTTCTGACCATTATCTGACCATAATCCAACCTTTTCTGACCATTATTGGGACATAATCAAACCTTTTTCTGACCATAATCCAACCTTTTCTGACCATTATCTGACCATATGCCAACCTTATCTGACCAAATTTTCTAACCATGATTTAACCTCATTCAAAACTTTTGGAATATGATTTTTTTTTTCATTTTAAAGCTCTTTAATAGGGTTAAAAATAAGCATTCTTATGATTTTAGCAATTTATTTTATACTCGGAATCACAAGTACAAAACAAGAAATGTGGTACTATATATAACAAATGCAAGATTTACATAATATTTTTTAAAACTATTTAACTTGACGGTATGTACTTTAATAACGCTTCATGTATTAATTAAGCATGTTAAACAAAATCCTTCTTGAATATTAACACTGACATTTTATATAGCAAACATCCATGCATGTGTTTTTTCTTATATCACCACTGAACTGATCACTCTGAGTTTGGGATTTTTCAATCATCTATCCAACTCACTGATTGTATATTTGTCTTTGTATTTTATAACTGAATCTAGATCTGAATGTTAAATGGAACAATATTCTGAATATTTTGTTATAACTATAAATAGCAATGTTCATGTATCTTCATTAGTATTCTAGCTTCTTTCGTCCTCCTCCACTATGTCGATCTGGGGCATACTTTAAGCGTATCATTACCGTCTCCAACCTGAGATCTCATCACACTTTCTGAAATTAAAAAAATAAAATAATCAGTTACAAGTGCAAGAAATAAATCACTTTTACATATTATAATTAAACGAAATTCTAACAAAACTCTCCAACTACTTAAAAAGATACATGTACTTATTATTTTTAATTTAGTTTAAACCATGTAGTTTCGTGTACCTATACTGTATATATCTATTAATTTTGATAAAAATGGCTTCGTGAAGAATTTCATTATAAAATCAAGGGTAATAAGATCACTGTATTTTCTATAATATTTTGAAATATACCTGTCACAAAATCTTGGTAGGTTTTCATTTTTCTTTTCCTCTAAATATTTTCATCTTTCTCATGAACTTTTGACACATGTTGAATTATCATACTTTTCACAATCTGAAAGACGAAATATAATCGTTTTAGAATTTAACCATGTGGTGAAAGGATGTTTGTCTAATACAATAGGCAAAATCAAATTACTATTAATCTTAGTTAACTCATAAGCGCATGAAAAACTGATATAACAAATTAATTCTACTCCCGCAAAAATTGATATTGTTATTTTTTATATTCAAAGTACTTTGTACAAATGCTCATACAACATCAAAGAAATTCACATGTTACTGTCATTTTTATAGATATCATCTCTGCCCAGCATGATCTGGTCTGCTAAGTGTATATAGGACAGACTGGCTTAGTGTAAAAACGTTTTATGATACGAGCATACAACTTGTTGATAAGCAGGCTATTTAACAAACTATTACTTTTATTGATTTATAACTATGATAATGTGTTTTCTGATTGATAATATGTTGTTTGATTACATTAATAAAAAGATAGCTAGTCAAATACTATGTGCTTTCAGATATATCTTACAAAAGTCGTATCATTTACATGTATCAAATGCCATGAATCATTATCATAATATAAGAAACACATGGTATGCTTACAGTATGGGTAAAGTACTACAATTAACAACGAGTAGTTTAACAACTACACAGATATCAAAATCAAACTGCATCTGATACATGTGTAAATGACTGGCCCCTCATATAAGTGAAATTCATGTTGATAAGAAATAAGAGGAATTTTCATTTACCAGCATTTGAATAATAAGAGTCTTACGTACTGCATTTAACTTTTTATTGATTTCAATTGCTAGGATATTTCCTACCATTGAATTTATTTGGCATGGCGATATAGTGTGGGAAAAATGATCCGATTATACAGACTGTTCTATAGCAAATGATAAAGTGTTCTTACGTGGAAACAAAAATATTTATCTCGCGAAATCACGTGACATTAAGTTTTACCAGTCAAACATTTCAATGATCAAATAACCATCGAATCCATGCAAACATGCGGTAAATTAGCATTGAAAAACAATATATAATGTTTGCCTACCTTTTTCTTTTGTTTGGAATACACAACTTTGTCTGTCAACCCGTCGTTTTTTGTCCGCCAATACAATTGAATTTCAAATCCGATAAGTCGCAAATTCGAATTTACTAAATTATTTACCACTATAAAATGAAGCCCTCAAAAATGATAACAACTTCATTGTAAATTATATAAACACTTCTTAGACTAATTCGAGGAGATAAGATATTATTTAAACGAAAATAGAGCAAATATATTTCATACTGATCTGCAACTATCCGTTTACAGAGCGCCACCTATCGAATATCGTACGTTAGCCACCCACGTGATACTGTTGTTTTGATGGAGAAAATAAATATATAATGTTCCCTTTCTAAACTTAAACTTAAAATTCTCGCTGTTTATGCTTTCATTTATATATATATTGGTTTCATAAATTAAATTTACCTATTGTCAGATTACCGACCAAAACCCGACGTCGAGTCGACGTCAAAATGCAACGTCTGTTAGACGTCGGGGATTCAACGTCGATTTGACGTTGTATGAAGGTCACCGACGTCGCGACCAAAATTCAACGTTGATCCAACGTTGGGTCAACGTCGGGTGTTTGCTGGGGAAGGCTGTCCCTGTAGATAGCCTCTGCTATGTACCATGCATGTTAAATTGAATTGAAATTCTCAGTTGATAGAATTTGATTTTCCCTTTTCTGATTTATTGCTCCATATTTTCCCCTTCAGAAAGCCACAGGTTGTTTCGAAAATTGAAAAAAAAAAAAATCACTGGGAAACGATTATTGCTGTATATGCATACTGCATAACTAATCAAGGGCCATGACTCTAAGTTAAAGGGTCTGACCAGAACAAGGTGACAATTTGCGCATTTCCTCTTAATATTGAATTTTTCTATAATTTTTTTTTGAATTCCAGGCAGAAGCTGCAGAGCACTAGCATGGAAACGCAATTTGGATGGATGGATGGATGGATTGACTGAAGGAAGGACATACAACGCCATTGCCTAAAACAAAATCCCCCTTCCCTTCCATTGTTGTGGGATAACAGATTGAATTTCCAAATTAAAAAAGGGAACATTTCTTTTAATATTTTATCATACTGAGGTATCACGACTGAGTTCTGAAGTTGTTGTTTTTGTGTTTTTGTTGTTATTCTTTTAGGAGAATTTAAAATGTCATGCAGTCAATAAACTGAATGTGTTTCACTTGGTATAAATAAATGAGGAATCAAATTTGCTTCTTCTTGAAAACAATGATAAAACACACAAAACACATCAGAAGATGTTTAAAAACTGTAAAATTCTGTAATACAGTATGATCATAGAAAAGGTGTCCAATCTTCTTGGAATTATGACATCATGTAATCTTGCAATGACATCATCAAACTTTGTTTATTTTCAGTCAGAATAGCTCATATAGCAATAACTCCTGTTAATAACATTTAAATTGTGTAAAATGATGTAGTATACTGGTATACTGTTTCAAAAAACAAAGAATTTTTAAGTTCTGTCCAGAAACTTGTTCAGTAAAGATAATTTCAAATAAAGGACTTAACAACGGAGTTTAGAAAAATGTAAAAGCATATGCCAAAAAATCATCAATCATAAATTTATAACAATTTCTCGGCAAAAAACAAGTTAATATTACACAAACATTGGTATCGAATATTATTATTAATACTGTAAAGACAATGAAAGATTCTCTATTTAAAATGCACCTTCTGTAGCGTCTTCTGTTGAAACAATTCCACAGGAAAATGCACACAAACAAACAACCAGAACTAAGTTAGACAACATAATGTGATAATCAATACTTCAAGAATTTAACTGAAACGTCTGCTATATATCTGCGTCGCAACTGCTATATTTTTACCCGGAAGTAATTTGTAGTAAGTACGTTTTTCTGTCGGAAACCACTAAATGTTTTCCATCTCCTATGTTTCAACTTTTAGACACCGTTTTGGCCTGTAATAACACTCTGATAAGAATGATTTAGTTTTTACTATAAAGGCTTTTTGGTTTAAACAATATTCACTTTAAGGTTCAACTGTGTGTTTGGTTTCATCACTAATGTCATATGCTCGAGCTATAAAGCAACTACAGCTCCCTTTATTTATTCAAACCCCATTTGTACACATCTATTGTGTGCACTTTTGTGTTCGGTTGGTGTGAATGTTCAAAATGTTCCCTCTTGAATACTTCATATATCTGGGATTTCAAACTACATGTAATATAGCTCTGTCTAAAATGACATATTCAATCTGAGCTAATTTGTTATTTCTTGCATGAACATGTCAACTTTTTTTGATGATCAAGTGGGAGATTTTTCTTCAAAAAGAGGGAGATTTTAGAATTTGCAATAAACAAAGAAGAAAGTTCTGATATCAAAAAGAGGGAGATTTCTTAAATTTGTGAAAATATCCCTTATTTTAATAAAAGTCTTTGAAAATATACATGTAGCTGCAGGAAGTGGGAGTCTCCAGCTAAAAGTGGGAGAGTTCACATGTATGTGCGATTTCGATATTTGCGTTTGCGTATGGATTTCGAGACGTTTCGGCCCCAAGACGTATCGGCCCCAAATTACCCAAGACGTTTCGGCCCTTTACCAAATCGGCCCCAGAATAATTACTGTGTTTTAAACCGGTATATTAAAAACTCATAGTTATAATAATCATAAATGACAATTTTCATAAAGTGGAACGCCAATTTCCAAATACCTTGACTTTATATTACAACCATATATGAAAGAATTATGATACCTCTTATATATTTTACGTAAGATTAAATCTTAACCAAAACCATCAAAGTTTAGATACTTGTTGCATTTAATGTTAACTTCATTGTTTATAAATATCTCACAATGAATTTCATTGTTTATAAATATCTCACAATGAATAGCTACTCGTAATTACTTCCTTGATATTGAAAAATCTAACACATTTAATTATCAGGTAAGGAAAGTTAGTTGTTCATGCACGTGAAAATCGAAACATTCGGTCATGTAATTTTATAATGAAAAGAAAACAGAAGCCATATTATCTATAATTATTTTGTCACTGTCAACATTGTTTGATTTAACTAATTAATAAATTGATATGATTTATACTTTACACCGTCATTTAAAAAAATATCGATTCCTATAATAACATGTGTTACAACTATTTTAGTTTTTTTAAAAACATTACACTGATCTTTCTTTTGAATTGGTGTATAATCTGGTTAATCAATCATTAAATCAGTATATAATTATAGGTGTAATAGGTGCAATATATTAATTTTTGGGAAATCCTTTTTTAAATTTTTTAAAGAATTAAAGTGTCATAATTGTTTAATTGTAATTAAATTAATTGTTGTTAAACAATTAAGCAATGTACTATATAGTAGGGCCGAAACGTCTTGTGGAAAAGGGCCGAAACGTCCAGGGGCCGATTTTTCCACTGGGGCCGATTTGGTTTGGGGCCGAAACGTCCTGTTTGCGTATGTGCATGTGGTACGATTTTAAACGTTGCCGCTGAGGTTCCAAATTAAATGTCAGTCAACTGAATCTTAGACTTGAGTTGAATTAATACATAACGTGAAAATATCACGTGTTAACGTGAAAATATCACGTGTAATATATGAAATAACAAAATGTATGTTTAGCAATGTAATTTACCAATCACTTTGAATACGTTTGCTAAAATTGCTAAAAGACGTACAGTATCAAGGATGAATGAAACATGTAACACATATCCTTTCAAAAAATATATTTTTAAAACATCATGCAAATAAAAAAATAACAAATAAGATTGCAATGCATTATTTTTATCACAGACATTTGTACAAAAAAACAGTGGTAAAAATATTGGAATTTTCTAAAGGGTTTTAAATAATATAAGAAAATGCATTTTTGATTGCGATTATCCACCTATATTTACTGCAAAATACAAAGATAATAACTAAGGTGAACTAATGCTCAAATAGATAATGAAGAAAAAATTACTGTTTTTAATAGGAAGTACAAGAAAGATATAAATTTTACAGTACAAAAATTGGCAAATGAACAAATGAATTATTTCTCAATTTCAAAATTTGAAAACGTTTAAACTATGCACCGATAGACATGTGTCTTGGAAACAAAATCAAAATATAAGTCAGTGCAAAACAAGTTGAGGTGTCTGATATGACATAATTATATATGTCCTACTTCTGTACAATCGGGTTCAGCTGTCATTTGATTGATGCAATGTACACGGAAAAGTGTATACTATACACAGTTCTTTTTAATACAAATACAGCACGCTTATTTATTTAAACATATTGATATATAAATGTATTCTAGCTGAAGCTGTCATTGTTATAGCCATTGTTCTATTTACTATACAATATTTGTTGTTCTCGCTTAAAAACTGCGCACGCAGTCATACATTAACAGAGAAGAAAAACATGCATTGATGGATAAAATCAAATAAAACTACGCGATATTTGACGCTAACAGCGCTATTACGTGTATTGTAACCGACTTTAAATAAATATGAGCTTTTTTTGACATTGGTGCACGTTTTTAAATATCCGTGACTCGAGGTATCATATAAAAATAGCTTTATGTAATGCCGGTCCAGGTAGTTTCATTATCACAACATACCTATCGAATGACATCACACTAGCATGAGAAAAACATGACCAAACAAATGAATAACGAAACGCGAAATTAGCGAAGCTGACGTATAATTTCATGCAAAAGCTAATTATGCTCCTTTTTGTGCATTAACATCTGCAGAAGCCCTCAAACATATTAAATTCCTTGTCCTGTGGGCTCGGGCTTTAAATTCGTCATCGTGCTTCTACATATGTTAATGCACGAAAAAAATGTGCAATAACCCTCTACTACTACTGAATTTGAATTGAGGTTACTTTTAAAATTTGTAGAAATAAAAAAAAACTAAATGCGCCAAAACACGGCGAAAACAAATGTAAAATATAAAAAAGAGAATATCAAAATGTCCTAAATAGTGTCTGGAGAAATCATAGATGATGTTCTACTCAGCTTGTTGTAAAAGTAGCTGATTCAGTGAATGGGGTATGCCTGACGTGTTGCAAGTATTTTCTAAAACATTGGTAAGCTTATATGTCATGAGAACAACTTGCATCTGTCGGGTGTTACTGGTTATATTTCGAACAATATCTAAAGGTCCAA